GGATGGCTGACATGGAGTAGGGGGGTTCTACTGAGTCACGTACAGATTTAAATATGTCCATTATGTGTTTCCTTCTGCAGCTGGTGTGCTCACTTTCATGGACTTCCATGATTATTTTTATTTCCTTACCTRTCTTCCTTAATCTTTCTTTGATGGTAGTGGTGTATCTCAAATACACGCACTTAAAAACTATTTACTTAAGATGGCTTAAGCAATATTATTTTTAACATAAGAGYTTWAAGACCAATATATTTCTACAGTGAYTGYCTACAGCTGTAGCCCTGTCTTACAGCTTGTATCACACGCTGCTGGGGGGAAACACATTCAAACYTTTTAATTTGTCATAAATCAAGAGGTACCTTATAACAGATAACTGGGAGTTACAAACATGCAGGCAGTGTAACACTAAAAGCTACCTGTGMGGTAAAATTGTGGTGTTCCTGTTTTGTAGGTGAATGTGGTGAACAAATTGGCTCTAAACAATTTGACATAGGCTGGAAATATCCACCAGGGTGGAATACACAGCCCTTAAATGTCTGAGTTCCTTGAATAATACTTTCTTTCCTTCTCATGTTGCTTCCTCAGCACTCATTCTGGTGTTACCCAGCCTTTGGAGGTGAATAGATCGTTGAGAGCTCTGAGCTCATGTCTGAGAGGTGGKGATTCTGTGAGATCTCATAGATCTTTATCGTTTTTTACTTGTTTTCATCACGCTTCCTTCACTGGAGCTCTCCTTTTCCACTCCATAGGCTTGATGTTCTTCCCTCTAAATGGGGAAACCTGSTGTTATTGATATACTTATTATTCTGAAATAATAACACTTTTTAATACGTATAAAAATAGTGGTAATATACAGCATAGGATACCTTCCCTAACAATAGCTTGATGTCATTAAAAGTTGGACTTTTCTGTAAAAATGGTTCCAAAGCAAGCAGCAGTTGTAACAAAAGTTCTTTAGTAACTAGCAAAAGGAATAAACAGAATTCAGAAAATGAGAAATATTTATCTTTCTATAAAATTCACCTTTTCAGTAGTCATGGTTCCTTTCAATTTTTTATGAGAGTTCAACCAATTATTCACCCCCACTATAGCTGCATGTAAATTTTAATAGYTAACATACAGATTACAGGGGCTTGGGGATACTAAATATTTTGCATTTACTTGAAATAGTTAAATATTTTTCAGTAAACCATTTTTTGTCAGTCACAGGAGTAATAAGTCAAGAAAAGGAAATTGGCAAATGTGATTCACTTAATTCCTATTTTTGAGTATTTGTGGACTGTGTAGCAAAGCTGTCATAGAAGGAGACTGGGTAGATTATAACATTATGCTCTTTCCATGTTTCTGTGAGCTGCCMTGAGTAGCATATGTTAGAATGAGATCATAAAGCACGATAAAAAGATATTTAATGTATGTATACTATGTAAAATGGATGTGCTGTTTGTCTTGGCACGTATATATTGGAATATTAATGTTCTCTTTTCTGCAGACTACCCAGGAAGTCTGTAATAAACACAAAACATAGCTATCCATTGACTCACTGATAGCCTGTAATGAATACTTTATCTACACATGTGTGCTAGAAGCCATTAATGTCATTTGATGATGCACTCATGGTCCAACACACCCCCCTCTTTTTTTTTTCCCAAGCCAAGGTCGGTATATCCAGCCATTGGTCTGCATTCTAGTTCAGTGCAAGTTTAAATAGCTTAACTTTTCATTTCCAAATAACAAAAAGTGCCTTGCAACAAGCACATACAAATAATAAATAACTTTCTGCAGTGCTCTTGTGCCTCCAGAGCATCCATTAGTGGTGGGGCTGTGTAGATGTGATAACGGTGTGTGTTGGGTCTGGATCCATCAGYGCTTTAACTTGGCTTTGTCAAGGGAAATAAATCTCCCCGTGGTTCTTTCTGGTTTTTGAATCTTCAGCTCAAATTGAACCTAGGATCRAGGACTCAAAGATAATTAAGTCCCGTGAGTTTTGTGAGAATCATTGCCTGGATAAAGAGGAGACCCTGGCAGTGACCTGGATGAGAGGAAAAAGCTGCAGCAGAGATCTCTCTGCCGGACTTTCTCGGGAGAGTCTGTGTGGGAGAGGGGCTGTCTGAATGCCCAGTGGGAAAAGCCTCTGCCACAGCCTTCAGTCAACCAGAAAACATAAATCCATAGGAAACCAAACTTCCTCCGTTTTTATTCTCAAGGAACYATTAATCAGTTGGTTATCAGAATATTCAGAACAGGTTTTAATACAGTGTTGAAACCATTAGAAAAGAGGAGCGTAAACTCGGGTACTTTTCCCACCAGTGGGAAAAGTTTTGTCCAGAAGAAGTCCTGAGATAGATTAGAGCTCTGTGTGTGGAAAATTATTTCATTTCGAGTTGAGCTGATGCCCCTGGGACCTGGGCTTTTCCACCTAGAAATACCTGGCAGAGAGAGTGTTGTTAATGGAAGGTTTCTCAGCGTCGCCCCTGTTTTGTTAACCTGACAAAGCCAGAGTGGGTTGACATCTGATTTGCCTTAAATGTGGTTACTAGAGAGGGAAAARCTGAGCCAAAAATATTAGTTTGTTCACTCATGGCTAATTGTTGGGGAAGCAGTTATTAGTCTGTGTGCTCTGCGTGTGCCCAATCTTATAAAAATGAGACTTCGATTAAATTGCATTGGCAGGCTTKCTTTACTTCTGAAAAGAAGTGTTTGTAATTAGTTAACCTTGCAATTCCTCATACAAGAACAGTTGAGCCTCTTTTGTCTTGGACATTATACAGTTTCAGGAGCACCCCTGTGTGGCTTTCTGTGCTAAAGATGAATTTTGACTTAACCATTGGATTTAAAGCCTTTGGCTGCACTTGACACTTCCCATTACTTGTAATGGGTGAAACTGTGACATTAATTAAATCTTTTTTTTAAGATATTTTAAAAAATTGCCATCTATGTAAGCACCTATTATACTTGAAGCTTTTCACCACTGGRTGAAAGGTGAGCAATAACCTACTGCAGTTCTTGGGCAGGTGATGTCTGTTGTGTTATCACTCATCTGAGGTTATTCTTGGTGTAATAAAACCCGAAGGAGCAGCAAAAGCAGTTTTCTCTTACCTGTTTTTTTCAAATGCCTTAAGGTTTTTCTGAGTGCTCTGGATAGAGTAGACTTTAAATTGCTGGGCATGTGGAAGCCTTTGGAAACTGTGGATTTTTATTGCACCGTCAAAGAACTTTRTTTGATTTGTGGAGCAGTGATGTGACAGTCTTTTTCCTACATGTACTTGCACAGTTGGTATCAGAAATACCTAAAACATTTGGCTCTCTATTAGTATTTTACTACTGTTGACTGTTTAGATTGGAATTATTTGGTGAAAATCCCTTAAATGGMGCTCTGCTTTAGGATTACCAGTATGTCTTTGAATGGAGAGGAATTAYAGTTATTCTTTTATCATCTTAAAAAAAGCTAACAGCTAAAGACCTGGAACCAGGCACATCTTTTCCAGTCTAACAGTATTGTTAGCAGGCCCTTTGATCAAACTAATGTGCTGAAATTTTCCTGGGAACTTTTAGTGGGGTGTTTTGGGACACCCTGTAGCCGTTGATAGGCATCTCCATGTGTTTCAAGGAGCACCAAAATTCCTTAGGCCRGAGTAGAGATGTATCTAGATGTTACATGGCTGAATTCCTGTGGAAAGCAGCATCRTTAAAATCAGCATCTTTACRAATGTAAAAATTGGGAAAATGTTAATTGCATTATTTAGACTATCTAGGGTGGTGTTTCTCTGCCCTGGCTGTGGAATTCTCCATGGGAGTTCTCATGGATTGCCTCTGCTTGCTTTTACTCTGGCAGAAATTGGGGATGAGGAGCCTTGCAAGATCAGTGGGAGGGTATTCTGGGGGGAAAGGATGACCAATGGTGTTTGGTTTTAGGTGGTGCCTGTGGGATGTGATTATTGGATGCACTTTTCTGTCTTTGCACTTCCTGGCAGTAACAAATATTGGCGATCTCATAGGAAAAATATCCAAGGGAATCATATAGTGAGGAATCTCCTGCAGCATCAGGTTCCAACCAAATAACTCTCCCYGCTCCCCCTCCCYCTTTTTTTTTTTAATACTGGCTGTGGGAATTCGTGCTTTTGCTCAATCCCCAAGAATCCTTTTGTGTTATCAGTAAATATTTTAATGTTTCACAGGGGAATCTAATATTTCCTGCTTACTAAACCTGGGATAATAGATAAGCATAGTTAGTTAAGCAGTGGTGCAGTTTGTGAAGAGAAATCTTCATTGTGTACCTTGGCACCTTTATATGAAATCTGTTCCCTTTGACCTTTTATTTGTTTATTTGTTTATTTAAATTTATTCTCATAGGAGATTGTTTTCCCCTGGGTATTTTTAGTTGACAAATGCAAATGCTCCTCCCTTGTAATTTAAACAAACAAACAAAAAAAGCCTGAAACAATTATCAGCTGCTACAAATAAAAGATATCTTTGTAACCATCAAAACTCTGRCTTTAGAACTTAGTGTGCTCCACCCAAATGCTTTTCAGGTAAAACCTTTTATTTATGACCACGCAGGATAACAGAAAAGCCTTGGCTGCTTGGTGTTCTGGTTTTTATGATCAAGGAGGGTTTTGCTGGTCTGTAGAACAGAAAATAAGCCCCTGTTTGTGTCTCAGCACTAATTATGGTGAGCCAGCCAGGAATGCTCCAGGTCCCTCTCTGGTGAACTCACAGTTGGCAAAAGAGGTGAGGGGGTAAAAAACACCGTGTGAAACTTTGGCTTGAGGAAACCACGTACCTCTCAATTCCACTGTTACCTGCCTACAGGTAAACTGCCAAAAGATGCCATTTCTGATTCAGCTTTCAGGAATTCATTTACATGACAATATAAATGATGAAGTTCATTTATGATAATTTTATTTTAAGCAGGATTTTTTTGAATGCTGGACAGATAAAATATTTTTTTTTTTTAAGTTGGCAATCAGTAACTTAATTTTGTATTTCTGTTTTTCTTGCAGTACTGTGTGCAAAAAACTTGGTGAAAAAGGATTTTTTCCGTAAGTAGCTGTTAAAGTTTTATACATTTATTTATAGATAAATATTATGCAGGCTCTATAGTCCAGTGTTTGCATGTGATCATTATATTAAGGTATGTGCAATAAGGGGGCTGAGGGCTTTGATGTTTTGTTTCAGGGCTTGTAATTTTTTCTTAGGTGTCATTCATCACAGGACCATAATAATAATTAAAACACTGACACTCTCTCTCTGTTTTTATGAGAGTGGGAGACAAAATCACCCACTCAGGCAAATAACATGTTTTTCAAAATCAGTCTCATGTATTTATTAAGATGTTTTTCATACAAGAACTTTTTGTCAAGCAAATAGATGCACTCCTTAATTATTAATAATCACTTCATAATACTGACGTACTCTGAAATTATATTTTAATTAATTTTAATAATGTTTTGAAAGAAGTGCTATGAAGGAGGCAGAAAGGAATGCTATTGTCTGTGACCTGCATGCACAGATCACCTGACTGCCACCTCCYACCTGGGAGCAGGAGGAATTCAGAAGGGCAGGCCTGAGCTTTGGAAAGAAATTGAGGAGGGGATGATCCAGAATTATACTGTGATTTGTGATACTCCTAAACCTTCACTTAWATCTGAATTTTTATACTGATTGCAAGTTTTTGGGTGTTTAACAGTTTGATCAAGATCTGAAATGTGTTGAATCACAGCTGTCCCAAGGTCCTGTCCCTTGTCCCCACGTGCTCTCTGTGACACTTGTCCYGAGCCTCTGCTGCCTGACTGGCTCTGAGTCACCTCAGGAAGTGCAGCCGGTACAAAATTGYACCTCAGCCATTGTGATTAATTCATTGTGATTAATTAATGCTTCCCCACCTCAGCTTCTCCAGCTGACTCTGAGAACTCGAGGAGGGGAGGAGCTGGTGGAGCATCAGTGTGGGACCATCCCAGTGGTTCAGCAGGAGGTGTTGATCAGGGGCTGCTCTGCTCCTGCTGCTTTCCCATCCTCAGCTGCAGTTCAGCACCATCCTTACACTTATTTTTTGGTGTTCAGATGAACCTCTGTTCATCTGAGGTGCTGAGCTGGCAGCAAACAGAGCTCAAAAGCAAGAATCACCTGTCACAAGCAATTCTCTGTTACACCAATATCAGCCAAAATCATGGCTGTGGTTGGTCTTAAATATATAAAGAATATAAATCTGTTTTGTCTGCCTTTAGCTTCTTTATATACTGAGAATTTACTCAAACCTGAATTAGGGAGATGAAGGTTTTCAGGTCTTTTTTCCCAATTTGTTTGACTAACAAAACTTCTTGTGGTCCGTATCAGTGAAATAAATTGCTAATTTACYCATTTCCTGTGCTTAATACATCATACTATTCCCACTCATTAAATAGAGCTCTCATCTATGACTTAATGGCAAATAAATCTTCAAATAAAAGGTTTAAAAAAAAAATAATTGTGCAATGATTAAGGACTTCAAAGCATCATGATCTGCTTACTAGTTGGTTTTTTTTTTTCTTTTCCTCCTCTTAGGACTTCCTGATCCCTTTGCTAAGGTTGTGGTGGACGGATCTGGCCAATGCCATTCTACAGATACTGTGAAGAATACACTTGATCCAAAATGGAATCAGCATTATGACCTGTAGGTGGTAACAGTGATAACCAAAGGTTTGAAGTAAAATCCTCTAAAGTACACAGACAATGTTCATTATCCTGTCCTATGTACAGCTGGGAAACTATCCCGTAGTTTATTTTATTAGTTTGAGTGAAAAGTACATGTACCAAATTTCCACTTTCTCATTTACCTCAAAATTGAAACACTGCACTTGCTTTTCTGGTGCTGATGTCTGCAGCACACTCAGCATGGACTACAGCATTGTCTTATTGTGGGATTTTTATGTTAACACTTGTGTGAAATGAAGCAAGTAACTGACAGTATTTCCCTCAAACTGCTCTTCTCTTGATGCTATTTTTGTCTGTTGTGGTGCTGCAGTGTCTTTTTCTCTGTGTGCCTTTTGTTCATTTTTCTCTCTGTCATTTGCTGTCCCAAATGTTTTCTCACTCTGAATTATTGTTATCATCACTTGAGCAGCTTTTGGTGCTTTTGAGCAATAGAATCAGTATGGCACATATATGTCATGGTTTTCCTCTTTTCTAGAGCACAGAATATTCTGTACAATAGAAGTTATTAAAGCTTTTATTTTTATGAAGGTCTCTATGTTTGTGCATGCTTTATTTTCCTTGTCTTTTATTCTTTATCTTTTTTTCTTGGGATGAAATATGAGGGAGAGAAATGAACTGTTTTACCTCATTGTATTCTCTTGTTCCGATCTCTGTTTTTTCCCCATGGCTCCATTCCTTGGCCAATATTATTAGGAACTGTTTGAGTAGATTAATGTTAATTTTGGYCATCACCAAACCTGCAACAAATCTGGTATTGCTGACAGACAATTTCTTGTCCCCCTTTTTCCCAGTGAAGAAAAGCAGCTTGGTGGTCTCACAGCAGAATGTGGAAGACCTGGTTTAAAGTTGTCTTAATCTACTTCTTATTTGAATATCTAAGATTAAATATGTGAAGYCATTGTTCATCATGTGTTAGTGTGRGATACAGAACATTTTCTYYACTGCTTAACAAAATGTGGCAGTTTAGTGAAATAACAATATTGTAGTTTTATTATCCAAACCCAGTCCAAGCGATTCTGCATGTGAGACTGTAATTTGTATTCATTAGAAAAATGTTTAAAAAATAAGTTTTAAGTTCATGTATAAGGAATGGATCTGCTATTTAAAGAATTCTAAGTTAATTTGATTTTTTGTAATGTTACTAAACTTATCAAAATGTTGATTTGTGCAGAATGGGGGTTTCAGGCCTTTGTCCTTCATGTCCTCTCCGAGGATCAGAGTAGAGCTAAGGAGAAATCCCTGCACAGACCGAGCACAGACTTTGATTGTTTTTGAGTTGGGTGGGTCTGTTAATGAGCATTAATGCACAGCTTTACAGGGATAGAAAGTGGAAAGTGCTGCCAGCATGGCTGAGTGCAAATCCTTCTGTAACCTTTGTACAGCTGGGAGTGCAGGAGCAATGGTGGGCATCACTTGGCATTTAATCCACTGTGAAAATCCGTGTGGAAAATGTCACTGCTTCCCTGAGTCTGCCCCAGTATCAGCCAGTTTGAAGCACTGTGGGACAGTGGAGTGACTGGAATGGGCTGTAAGGGATKCTCAGTGCTCCAGGGGCTGATGATTTGATTCCCTTCTGGAGAAAAGGAGTGGAGRACATGGGAAATGAGGGAGGATGTTGATATGCAACAAGAGTAATGGAAAAAGTCAGTAAAATCTTTAGAGAAAATTCCTTTCTAGTTATAATGTTTAAGGAAGGATGAAGAGAAGGTATTTTTAGGTTGTTTTATAGAACAAGCCATGGTTGTATCTGGATACTGTATTGTMTTTCCAAGACTGTGATTGCAATCCACAAGATATTATAAAAAGCAGAGATAGAAGGGGAGTTTCTGGCAGAATGCTTTGCTTGAGCAGATTTGAAGCATCTTGCTGGATTGCCTCAAGGAATTTAGACCTGTGTGATGTATCTTTTTGTGGGTGGTAGTTTGGTTTTTTGTTTTTTTTCTTGTTCAGAGAAGTTCCCTTAAAACATAGAGTTTGTTGAATTAGTGTATTATTTTTAATATAAAGAACGTGTAGGGAAAACTGCTTTGTTTGATTCTAGCTGTTCAATTCCCTGATGACAGAAGTATGTCCAGTATTCCTACTCCAAAGTAAAATTTAGTGTTGTGGCAGGCTTTGTTATTTGAAAATAATCTTTTCCCTCTCCAAATTTTCTTCATAATTTAAGCCCTTTTACAGCCTCACCTGTTATTCCTTACTGTGTAGAGATGTATTTCCATTTATAAACATCGGTCACATAATCTTCATTTCCTATTTAAAACAGCAGTAAAAGATTAAATCTCTTTGGTACAAGAACTCACTGCCTGGCTTTTATCTTAAGGTAATTTTTTACTGTGTGATATACCCAGTGTCAGGTCTCAGCTTTTCATTTGCACCAGGTATTAAGATGATTTTTTCATGTATCATATGATAGCAGATGCAAACTGCACAGTCAGATGGAGCTGTTGTAATATATTTATGCAGTAATGTCTGAATTAAGTTGCTAATTCCAGGGGAATTTTGTGACTTGCTAACCTGAATTAGCATAAGTAGATATTCTGTTGTATAAGAATTTTTTTAAAGGGACTTCTGCAGTGAGCAAAGAGAGCAAAAAGGGGTTGGCTTTTGCCTTGTGTGGTTCTTAATTCAGATCTTAGTGTGAAAGGAAGTGGTTGAATTAGCTGCCTGGATTCTTCAGCCTAGATGGGTGTGTGTGTGGAGAGAGGGGGAATTTGGGAGSCTCTCCAGAGAGAAATTGCCAAATAGTTGCTGTCTGGATGTAGTTTAATGTCAGTAAAATACCATGCTTGCCATGGATGTAATCCCCTTCCTTATTTTCAGTCTTGTTTGTGTTTTCCCTATTGTTCAGGCCTTTCCTCAGAGCTTTTGAATAACCAGACGTGACACATTTACAGACTTTCCTTGCATTTAGAGTTAAACTACCAAAACCAGCAGTTCAGAGGTGTGCTTTCTCAGGAATATTTTTTTTCCACTTTCTTCATTCCACGTTTCTCCAGTGAGCTGAACTCTTCAGGGGAAGTGAATATAATGCTATGAGGATGAAAAGGTGCTTGGTACCAAACCTCCYTAAGTGGTACACAGAATAACAATTGYCCTTGTGTTTTTAATTTTTTWAAAAATAATTCAGAGATTTCTAKTAAGGCATGAATTTGATTTGTTTTCTTCGAAGTGGAAGTGCTAAGAGTATAGAAATTAAAATTTCTGAACAYGCAGTTCTTAAACAGAGTCCTAATTTTAAAGGTTCAGAAAATACGGAAATTAAAATGTCTATGCAATTGAATTTCTGTGTTTCCACTTCATTAATACTAATCCTGTTATCTCTGTTGAAGTACTGAAGCTGTGGAATAGATATTGCTGATAGGATAAAGGAAAAATAGAAATATAAGCTCCAAGAACTTTAATTATGAGGAAGAAGAGTTATCCAACAAAATGGGGGGTGGTGGTTTTTTGTTTCTGGTTTGGTTTGTTGCACTTTATTTTTTGGAACATTCTTTTTTAATAAAAAAATAAAATTCCTAGCTCAGGCTTTTATGTTGGAACTTTATTGCCAGATGATGTAAAACAAATGTAACTTATCCACCAAATGAATTGGAAATGTCAACTTGTCCTACCGTCACTCTCTAAATACAACCGTGGGTTTTCATGCCTGAAATGATGCAGAAATGCAAATGAAACATTTTGCTGTAAAGCCAACTAGACATTACTTAACTATTTCTTTTCTTCCTTTATTAAAGAAAGAGAMATTTTTATTTGGGAAAATGCAGCTTGTCTTGCTCATTTCCTTTCCAAGTATGAACCAGCCCAAATTTTTGGGTGCAGAAATCAAGAGTGGATTTTGGTAGGATGTGGAATCCTCACCTGCTTGGTGTGGATGGTGATTGTTCATCCCAACCCTGAGAACCTCACCCTGAAATGTTACAGGAGTGCTTGGAAACTTTGTTGTGTGTTCAGCTGTTCTAGATATTATTCAAACTGTTCTGTTATGAAATTGTGTTTAACCATATACCTTTGACTTTTTTAAAGCAACAAGGAAAACGGGAAAATTCAAGACAGGTCATGATAAGTCTTTATTTTTAAGTGCACTTAAATTGTTCTCATAAGAATGTATTTTAAGTACATGAAACATTGTAGACTGCAACTGTGCACGTGATTACCCATCTTCATCTCGTTTCTTTATGCAAAATTGGCATTGTCAAGGTTGTAAGGCCAAAAATCTAACATGTATTTATATTATACAATCAGTTTCTTATTCCAAAAACTTTGGGGCTTTTTTTTATGTGGAGTCTGTGTTTTGTTTGGGTTTGTTTGTTTTTGTGTAAATGTGCAGTGATTACTTTAAACCATCAGGCTTTTCTGTCTTCTACTTCTTGGGTCAGTCACTGTCTGCAGGTGGGAAAAAGAAGTTGTCAAAGTTCTGCTTTTTGGGAAAGGAAAAATGGGAGAAGTGTTAACCTGGTTGCAGCTGTAATTTTAAGCCAGTTAGTTCAATTATTTGGTTTGCCAACCTTGACAGTATCATTTCTATCTTTATGAAAATACTAAGATGTTTAAAAGCCAGTAAAGCCACAGTCRATGGGGAGATGTATTTAGACATTGGTTGATCAATTCTCATTCAAAAACAARCAAAAAGGAAGCACTTGGAACTAAACTAAGGCCAGAATTTGTGGTCTGGGAAGAGAGAACTACAAGCAGTTCTTGGGATCTGAGCCATAGTTACAAATTAATTTCCCTCAACTTGAAACAACCATAATAATTCAGTATTGGCAATCGCTGATTTATCTGGAGTGTTTTGAAATTATCCTCTGGAAGTTTTGAAAACAAAAAATGAGCTCACAAAGTGATTGCCTCTGAAGAACAAAGCTTCAAACAAAAAATAGCAGAAGTCAGAGAGCCTGCAGTGTGCAGGTTTCCCCAAGGCAGTGAACACATTTCAGGTTTTGCTGAGCATGTCCGTGGGAATGCTGCGAGGAGCCAGTCCTGGTGTGAACAGGGACAGAGGGGAATGTGGAGCTTGTCATGCCTGTAATGTGGAATGTATGTCCCAAACATACATTGCAAAGGGGAAATCAGCCTCCCAGGGCTTGGGGAGCTGCAGATGTGTAATGGCTTGGCCTGATGTTGTCGGAGCCCTGCAGAGGGGTCACTGCGTTCCTGGGGCTTGGAGGAGCAGTGTCCGAGGAGCTCGTGGCTCCTGTCCCAATCTGGGCTCCATGAGCACTGCCATCCCTTGGCCAGGCTGAGCTGGGCATGGAGCTGAGCATGTTGGTGGCTGCTTGGGGAGCTGTGGTGGGGGTTCAGCCCCAGCTGCTCGTGCTGCTGTTTGAACAGATTCCAGTTGGGTCACAGAACACCTCCTCCCARAACCAGGCTTCTAGAGCAGCTTGTGTCCCAGTGAGCTCCTCCATCAGACATGCTTCCATTGAGGTCCAGTGAGCACATCTTCCCTGCAGATTACTTGCTCTCTCTTGCCATTACAGTGTGTGTTCAATTTTTAATGTAGTGGTTGAAAATCTTTTCCCCCCAAGGTGATTTCTGAAGCATCATCCAAGTGTTCAGTAAGTRCCATTGACAATACTGTTTTTTCCACGTTTTTCAGATATATTGGGAAGTCGGACTCAATAACAATCAGCGTGTGGAATCACAAGAAAATTCATAAAAAGCAGGGAGCTGGTTTTCTGGGTTGTGTGAGACTCCTTTCCAACGCAATCAACCGCCTTAAAGACACTGGTTGTAAGTAAGCTAAGGACRAGTTTCTTCTCTTTCAGCCCAAGCTTGCATGTACAGACTTTTGAAGAATGACACTTAATTGGGTTTTTGCTAGGCTTTATAAAGTTTGTATATTCCAGTTGGTTTGGTATCTTGTGATGTTGTTTTGTTTGTTGTGTGATTTTTACTTTGTGTTCTCTTTTTGTAGATCAGAGGTTGGATCTGTGCAAGCTTGGGCCAAATGACAATGACACTGTTAGAGGACAGATAGTAGGTAAGTAAAGTTTTTTTGTCTTTCAGTTCTCTTTTTATCTTTAATTTCTGTAGTAGCTATAGAAATATCCTTCCTAGATGTCGATTTTCTYTATTGAATTCCCCAGTGTCTACTGCCAGAGCCATTTGGACCTCAGGTTAGAAGAGCAAAAARACCAAATCAAAATGCTCAAACCACCCCAAAAAACCCAAATCAAAATATTATCAGTGTTAGGGCAAATAAGACCATAGATAATAGGAAATTGATTTAGAGAGTTTTTTATTTCACTGTAAACTTTGTGAAAAACTGACTATAAAATTTTTGGCCGCTGAGAGCTGCAGCAAAACTGTGCTTCCTGTAGGTTTTGGGAAAGTGTAAAGCATCTTRCTTACAAGCAAGTAAAATTGCTGTCTGGGATGACTTAGCCAATTAATTTTGTGTTTTCATGGCTTATTAGCAAGTCTGTCACCAACCTCACTAGCTGTGCTTTGTCATTCTGTGAACTCATAAACTTTAAATAACTTAAGAATTAAAAAGAAGCTGGCAAATTAAGCAAAAAACTTCATAAACACTGTCTTTTTTGTGTTTTCTCAGTTCTTTGTGAAGGCAGCATTTCTAATGGTTCATTTAAGTCAAAAGTTGGTCAGGATAAGGGAATTATTTGTTTATATAGCAATGTTAATGAGAATATTTGGACATGAGGGAAAAAAACCCTGAATTTTTAGGTTCAGTTCCTAGTTGAAGTGATATCCAAGCAGCACTTCTGTCTGCCAGGAAGCACCGTTGAAATATCAGTCAGCAAATGAGGCCTTCAGTGTGTTTGTTTGCCTCCCTCAGAGCACTTTGGTGGATAAAATCTGTGACTTCACCTCTTTGTGCTGCTCTGTCTYCATCTGATCTGCAAGTGCTTGCATTAGGATAGGAGTGTGGTGGCACAGGAGRGTCAAATGATGGTAGAAATGTGGAATTGTAAGTGCATTGCTGACACTTCAGGCTGTTCTTGATTAAWTTTTCCACATGAGCTTGCACAGCAGAGTAAAGGATAAATCAGTCACTTTTTTGGGGCTTGTTTTGTTGTGGGTTTGGTTTGCTTTTTGGGTTTGCTGCAGTGTGCTGGTCCCCTGAGCATCCCTGCTGTGGTTGTGGGGTTTCTTTGGCGAGGAGGCCGAGCTGGGTGAGCACAGGAGAGTGGGTTCAGGGTGTGCTGGGGGCAGGGAGCTCAGTTTTGSTCTCTGTTCTGCAGGGACTGTGCTCTCATGCTGCCCTCCAGAGCATGAACACACATCCTGGTCAGCATTGCTGGGAATGCTGCCAGTCATTCAGGGGCAAAAACCAAACCAGAAACCCCTCCCCAAAGCAGAAAGGTCTGGGAAGCCTGGGGCAAATCCACTGCAGTGTGCAATGAGGCTTCAGAGAGAACTGGTCAGAGAACTAGTCAGGGAGAACTGGTCAGAGTAGTGAGCAGGGTGGGCATGACCTGTCCTGCCAGGCTGGCTTTAGCTGATGTGCTCAGGAAAAGTGGTGCAGCCAGAGCAGCACTGGCTCTTTGGGATCTGCCCCTGAACACCAGCAGCTGTCAGATCCTGGACTGAACCTACAAAACACAGCCTTGTCAGGTGACAGCAGAGACCCAGAGCAAATCTGTGTGTTCTGTTTGCTGTTGATATCATAGGAAGGTCAAGAGTGCTCAGTCATGGCTCTGTTTTAATTTAATGCATCCTTGGTAAGATTCCAGAGACTCCTGTCTTTTTTAATTTAAGTTGTCATTATTAATCTTCTTATATTTTAATCTTTCTTCACTAATGCAACTTTGTTGAATGGGTGAATGAGCCTGAGTAAAACTAGATGATTCCACTGCAGTAGTTAGGTGGCAAGGAWGTCTGGATTAAAAATAAATAAAAAGACAGAATAAGTTATAAATACACTCTCAGTTCTTCAACTTAAAAACTCCCTTAAATTGAGAGACTGCAAGACTGGAACCCCCTTTAAAATGTAAAATCTGCCTTCAGCAGATTATAAGTCTTGCAAATCAAGTGCACAGTACAAAAGTTTGGCTTCATCCAGGTTCAGGCCTGTAAGGTCATTTCACTGCATTATAAATAGGACTTTAGACAGTTGTCCAGAGGTACATTAGTGCCACCTCAAGAAATGTGGGCCACGGCACGTATTTAGCTTTTTAAGCAATTGTTTTATTGTTAAARGCATAACAAAACATCAAAAAACCACGCCAGCCCTGCAGGAACACAAGTGTCATAAATTATCAGATTGGACACTTGCAAATTGTGATATTGGGAACAAAAGCRGCCTACAAAAAAAATCTTTGTTTTCATAATTGCAGTACAAAAGCTTCGGGAATAAATATCCATTAAAGTGAATCATGTAAAACAAAAAAAATGAAAAGTGAAACAGTTTAGTCCTGCAAGTTGTACAAATTCTCTTTCAGATGTAACTGTAATTTGCATTCAGATGCCATCTCTTTAATTAAATTCTTTTRTTATCCAATAGTCAGCCTTCAGTCCAGAGACCGAATAGGCACAGGAGGACAAGTTGTGGATTGCAGTCGGTTATTCGATAACGATTTACCAGATGGGTAAGCTGACACACTGTGGTGTAAACAAAACACTGCTCATGTGAGAGATTTGTGCACCAGTGAGAAGTCAGTGTGCAAATAAATCATTGGAAACATTGCACTCAGAGTTCTGCTCTCAGAGCTGAGCCAGCTGGGGTGCACAGAGCAGGTGATAGTTGGGCTGTTGTCTTACCTCCACTTGGAAAAGGGGAGGTGATATGTGAATAAATGCTTTGAAAAATATACTTGGTGAGAAAACACGTATTTCAGTTTAAATCACAGCCAGCAAAGTGACTTTTGCATGCAGTAGTTTTGTAGCAAGGAGTGAACCACAGGGCTTGGCTGTCCTGCAGCATGGTGCAGAGGTGTAAATCCACTGATAAACAGGGRTCACTCCTTCCCTGCACCTCTTAGTGAAGAAAACGGGATTGGAAAAGGTAATGCAGCCCAAGTTCTTTCTGTATTTACCTGCCAAAGGCAGAGTTTAGGATTCTGTTTCGTCCCTGTGAGAGTTAATGACATCATTATCACCTAAAAGAGTTTTGCAAACACAAAAAAATGCTCTGGTTTAGGTTCTGGTGCTGTCAGCAACTTCTTCAGAGCAAACACAGACTTTCTGAATGTGATTCTTGGCAGGTAAAGACAGKAGAAAATGAGTTTTCAGAGGATGAGTTTTGAAATGCAAATCATCATCTAAGACCTTAACACRATTCTTTTGTTAATTTGGAGTCCAGATAAGTGAAAAACATTTTTGAAAATGCTTCTAAATTTTCACTTCAGAATGTTCTTTGCATAAGTATTGCTCACTTAATTGTGTAACTGCAAAGTTTGCTGTACAGCCTCTTATATGTCAGAGTGCAAATCTAATACTAATTCAGAAGTGACTTTATTTGWAGCTAACTTTTTAATGAAAGCAAGTAGTGCATGAAGATGCTGTGAAAGCACTTGTTAGAGTCAGTGGTCAAAAGAAATTAAATGCATTGTTAAACATGAAGTTTCCAAGAAGTTTCTTTATGTGATTATTTGGATTTAATTAGAATTCAAGCARTTACTGAATATGAAGGTGTGATACTGTTAATGATGTGCCTGGTTCCAAGGGAAGAATACGTTAAATAATTTCTGAGTTCAATTTCCAGTTGTTTCCTGTCACCTTRTTCAGCTCACACCATTCACAGCAGTGTAAGCTTTCCTGAGCTGGGCACTTGTGATGGAGACGTTTTGTTCTCCAGTTTCCTGGAAATGCCACTGAGTGCCTTATCTGTGCCTGTSTGGATTGCAGGTGGGAGGAGCGCAGGACTGCCTCGGGAAGGATCCAGTATTTGAACCACATCACACGGACAACGCAGTGGGAGCGACCCACACGGTGAGGAATCCTTGGGAGCTGAGGGCAGGATGGACTCTGCCTAATATTTAACTCAAAAGATGGTTCTGACTACTTTTTTTCCTGCCCTAGTAACAACTTCTTTGCTTTCTTGTCGAGATGCTGGGGTAGAGCTGTGTAAATGCTGTCACTACAATGTGCAGACATTCAAAAGGTGAAGAAGTGAGACCATGAGTAGCTGTCAGACCTTGCTCTGTGACCATGTACCCCAGARCAGTTACAGCTGACTGCTACCCAGTGTGTTTGGAAATCACTGTGATCGCTTTTTCTGGTAGCTGCAGATGTGAAGCTGTTCCTCAAACTGCTTTTGTTGTTGCCTGAATTGCAGACACCATCATCGCATTTTTTTCAGACTCCTCTGCAGACTGTCTGTGCCTGCAGACTGTCTSTTCCATTCTCAATATCATTCAGGTCTCTGCATGAATGTATTTGACTTAAAGTAATCTGGACTGTTAACACTGCTAGCTCTGATGCATATTTGCAGTTTTGGAGTGAAGGGACTGAACAGCCTTTTGATTTACCTATTTCTGTTTCTCTTGGTATGTTAAAATACCTGTTCTAAGCTCTAGAAACAGTAATAAAACAAATACAAAATACATAATTTGTTTTGAGGATTTCATGTGACCATGCCAATCCCCCTTGAACCCATTTTAAATCCTTTTGAAAGCAGCATTGAGATACAGAATCACACTGGTCAGTGTTTCCTCTTGCTCTCAAGAGCAACAGCTTTTATTCTTGCTTGGGCGAGGATGGTGAAAAAGGACTAAAAATTAGAAGGAATAACAARGCCTGATCACTTCCTCAGCCACATGAAGGTGGAGAAAGTTTGGAGGTGAAGAGGTTACTGGTTTCTCTGGTGAGCACAAAACAGGAGCTTCCTGGGGTGTCCCTGGGGCTGGGCGAGTCCCTGAGATGTCCCCAGAGTGCCAAGGTGCATCTCCCCCAGSTGTGTTGTGTCATGTCCAGTCAGAATTGAGGTTTTCCCGTTTTCCCCAGGCCAGCATCCGAGTACTCGAGCCCGGGCCGGCCCCTGAGCTGCTTTGTGGACGAGAACACTCCGCTCCCCGGCACCAACGGCGCGTCCTGCGGGCAGGYGGCGGATCCGCGGCTGGCTGAGAGGAGAGTCCGCTCCCAGAGGCACAGGAACTACATGAGCAGGACACACCTGCACACTCCTCCCGACCTGCCTGAGGGATATGGTATGAAAATCCAAGGGGTTTGGGGTCTCAGGAAGCTGGGAAAATGGTTCTGTCTTCTCATATGTAAGATCCTGTTCATTCCGTCGTTTAGGGAAATCGGTCTTGGCGAGTTTTCATACAGCATTCTTTGTTCTTATATTTATGTCTGTAAACGTTCTTAAATTTTGTTCTAAAWTTGTTAATTTATCTTGATTTCACAGAGCAAAGGACAACTCAGCAAGGTCAGGTCTACTTTCTGCATACTCAGACTGGTGTCAGCACGTGGCACGATCCAAGAGTACCTAGGTAAGGAATGATGGAAGTACCCTTAAGATTTCAAATCAGAATCATTTAAGCAGAGTGCTCTCCTGRGAGTTTTCTCTGGCTAATATTTCTGATTCTTGGTCCCTAATGTATCATTTTAACAAGTCATTCATCAAAATTAATTAGTCTGACTTCCCCAGTTCTTCAAGTTGTTACAGTAACGAAAAGGTGGAAAAGCAGGAAATAAGTTACAATGGTGTTTTGAAAACAGGTACAGTTCACTGATTATAAATTTTATATATGAATTGGAGCCAAGTCCAGATTTTACTRCTCTGCAAAATAATGAAACCAAAAGTAGAATCTGAACACTTCCAAAAGAAGTTCTGTCGAGATACTTCAGTGAGAACTGGGTTGGATTGAAACACTCAAAATGCTTTTCCTGTTGCACTTGGGAGAAAACAAATCCGAAGTCTTTTTAATTTTGTCGTTTATTTACACAGTATACATGCAGTTATTTCTGATATGTTTGAAAGAAAAAGATGATCATGGAAACTATTGGTAGCTTCTGATTGTTCTGTAAATAACCAAGAAATCCTGTTGTAAACACTTGCCTCCCAAAATCCATGAATGGTGGTGTTGGAGGTGTGTGTGGTTTGAAATTGGCAGCCTGCACTGGCATTTGTGAGAACCAGAGGAACTCTGGCAGTTGCTGCTGTGTTCCTGTATTCCTTCCCATGGAAATGGGTGTCCTAGGAAGGATAAAAGGCCTCAARACCACACTTCATTGTGTTTTGAATTATTCTTTTGTTGCTGTTTTTGTGTTACGAGTTCATACCTTGCTTTGATGCAGCTTTGATGCGTTGCCTGCAGAGCTGAGGCTGCAGTTGTGCTTTAGGAAGTCCATGACTTGTGTRTTATACAAAACCAGCCTCTAAAAAACAAATAATATGAAGATCTAATCCTTCAGCTTGGGGTGTGATGGTTCTGTGTGCAGTCTGAGTTAGCACTGCCCTGAGGTGTGGCAGCACAAACAGCGGGAGTGACTCTGAGAACAAGAATTGTTTGCGTGAGGACAGAATTGATGTCATTTGTAAGGAATATTTTATTTTGAGGCTAATAGCCACAGTCCTGTAGTCAGCAAAAGTCGTTCTGGCAGTTCAGCAGTGGTTCTGTGGGGAAAACAGCACAGTGCAGTCCCAGAKCTTCATGTTCCCATTTGTGGCTCCTCAAGTCTTTGGAATCCCTGCAGGCAGCTCCATTCTGTCCCTTGGCTCTTTCCTTCCTCAGCTCCCATGATTTTGGGAGAGCTGAACCCCTTTGGGAAGAGCTGCCCTGGACAGTGTGAGGGGTCTGAGGTGTGAATTGCATCCATGAGTAAATGCACAGTTCTGCAGCCCAGCATTTGTTTTCAGCGAGGCTCTGGAATGAATTTACATCTTCCTAATTTCAGCACATTTTTCTTGAGACCWATTGAGCCACCTCTGCATTGCTCAGGGCAGAGCTGAGTCATTGTTCATATAATCCTTGATTTGAAATATTTTGTTACCCACAAGCTCTTGGGGTTCTGTGGCAAAACAGCCAGTGCCATACACGCACATCCCATGTGTAATTCTTCATGGAAAGTGTAACTCTTCAGAAATACACTTTTGTTTTGTAGGAGTTTCTAAAGYGTGATTCACAGCTCCTTACGTGACTAATGTTGTTTTAAAAAATGTTTTCTGTCAGAATTGGTGCAGAACTGCAATTCCATTTTGACAAATATGGCAATGGTCTTTATTTTGGTTTGAAGCCTGTATTAATTTAACAGCTGAAGTTAGTTTGTAAAAATGAAGGTTATTTGATAAGAACTCTTTTCCCCACGGCATGTGTTCTGGGGTGTGTGTTTTTGCTGTGGTGGGCTYGTACCTTGGGAGTAGAGATTCCAGCTGAACAGATCAAGTTTCTGAAACAATACATTTTCTCAGACTTCATGGAATTGTTCTGTTACATTTACGCTTGTTTGGCTCGGAGGCCAATTGCTGAGGTATTTTTCATTTTATATTTGTTTTCACAGGGATCTTAGCAACATCAATTGTGAAGAGCTTGGTCCACTGCCTCCTGGATGGGAGATCCGAAATACAGCAACAGGCAGGGTTTATTTTGTTGACCATAACAACAGRACGACGCAGTTCACGGACCCGCGGCTCTCTGCAAACCTGCACTTGGTCCTAAAGTGAGTCTGGGGCACGGGTGGAGGGAAGGCAGTGCCTCCTGATTTGTGTCAGGATGAATTCTGCCATCCAGGAGGCTTTAAAGAGCAGTGATGTTCTTTGACACACTCCCGGCAAAGTTTTGGTGCTCTTAGAAAACCCTCTGCAGGAGCGTTTAGGCAGGAATGYGGCTGTTGTGATGCACAGGGGAGGGAAGTGAGAGCTGTCTGGTGGCAAGGACTGGCACACAGATTTTTGCTTTCCTAACAGCAAGAGAGACCCTTTGTTTTCTTTATACTTCATTTTATTTTCAGTCATTTCATTTGTTTTGAAATAAGRAGTTGCATATGAGCCAGTGGTGTGAAATACTGCTGAGTTAGGCAAGGGTGCACAAATGCTCAGCTATGCTCCTGGAATAAAGGAAAAGTAGTTCAGCTCCTTCAGTTTTAGGACTGATTGATATGTTCTTAAAATAAGGCCCCAATAATTTAATTCAGCTTTTTTACAAAAAGAATAAAATAGAATAGGAACTGCATWTATAAAATAGGATAGGAACTGCATTTTTTCTGCCTTAGTGTTTTGCTATCATAATTTCATCTCACAGTTTTAAAAAGAGACGGGGAAACTCAAAAGAATTCTGGCTCGTGTTTTATTCCCCAGGCACTCATTACACACTGGGGATTTTCTACTAWAGATGGAAAGCAAAAAGCAAACAAATATTTCTTTTTTCTCTTTCTTTGTTTTTGCCCAGACAGCTTGTCCTAGGTAGTTGTGAGTTTGATTCTATTGTTTCTCCTGCTAACACCTTTTAATACTCTCGGGAAACACCTCTAAAGTATTGAGTAGGTGTTAAGTGGAAGAAACAATGAGGAGTTGGGTAGATGGAAAGCCAGGCAGCCCTGGGCAAGGAGTAAGTAGGAGGAATAGTCCTTTAAGGAAGTGAATCATTGGGAGGAAAAGCTGAAGGAAAGAATAATGGGAACAAGACAAAGCTGAGGAATGGAAAGTCATGTCCAGGAGTCAACATGTCCTGTATGCATTACACAAAAGCTGTCTGGCCTCTGCCCAATATACACTTGAACTTCACACCCCAGCAGGGAGAAGAGCCTAAATATTGACAAACACCTATTTTGTTTAGAGAAATCATTGGCTGTATATGTGTATATTACAGGACTTCAGTAAATCCCCATCATCCAGACACTTTGGGTGCTTTTTTCTTTTTTTAATTTAAAACAAATCACTACTAATTTTAGCCGAATTTAAATTTGGTGGTTTGAAAATTATCTTGAAACAAGTCAGCAGTGAAGGAACAGGTTCGTGTTTGAAACACAGAAATGCTCCTTAAATCAATTCAGATTTAGRTATTGTACTTGAAGAAAAACTTAAAAACTCTTTGCTACAGCAGTGCAATTCTTAAACTGTAGAAAACTCAGTGAACTGGGCTGTATTTGACAAACTGGCCTTCTCAGGTGGGTTTATTTTGAAATGGCAGAAGGGGCACAGTAGCCAATTCTRCATGGATTGTGGAGGACAGATAACAGAGCTACCTTTGTTAGCTGGAAAATCCAATTTGACTTTTAATTTCCAGAATCACAGAACCATTTAGCATTTATTTGAACTTAGAGTACTCCTACAGTGTGCTGAAGTTTTTCATTTGTCCATCTGTCTTTCATTAGGGAAGGATTTCAGAAACTCACCCAACAGTGTCATCAGCAAAGTCTGCTGCCTGATAAATCATTTTCGGTGTTTATTCTTTTATTGCACCAAACAGGATATGTGAAAGTTTCCTCTGCCTTGAGCCCACCTCCTTATTTGTTCTTTAAAAAACAAACAAGAAAAGTAATTTGCCTTAGGCCTGTCATTTTGTAAATTATCCAAGAAATAAGTTTAGACTTGGTGTGGGATGGGTGTGATAGTTTTAGGTTCAAAAGCATGAGAAAACGTTTACTCTCAGTGATACTGACTTTTCTGTTGAGCTGAGTAAAGCCATTTGTTCTTCCAGTTATGACATTATAAGTTATGAAAATAATCAGACTTGTTCCCCAGTTCTGTTCTAAGACATTGACCCAGAGTTTGTGGTAGATTTGGATAGTTATGGCACCTGAAAAGTATTTCATTGTATCCTTAAAGCACTGTATGGATCAAGCACAGTCACTCAGCTGTGAAAACAAACTGAGAAATGAGATTTAATGACTTTAAGCACTGCAGATTGTTTAGCTAATACTGCACTGGCTATTTTTAGTCTAATATGGAAGATGCCATTTTATTTTTCTCTTCAGAGTACTTCCTTATTTTGGGAAGCACTGAGAGGGGAAAAATAACAGTTTAATTTGATGCATAAATGAGMAATTCCTGTTCATTTCAGAGATTACATTTTCTTTAAGACTAACCCTGTCTGTGCTTGGGGAACCTGTGACTTTTTACCCTTAAAGGTGGTATGGAGGGATGCTCACTTTAGTGAATAAATATGGCCTTTTCTGGTACTCCTATACAAGGAATATTTTCATCTATTCTTCCTTATGAATTTAGAAATTTCAGAAGATAGAATAAGGATTTTGCTTTASTTTGTGTATCAAGTAAATACAGTTTAAATGAGATTCATATTTAAAACTAATCACAARTGAAAAATTACCATGCACATGGCATAAATGACATAGAGCCACATTCTGGAACCACAGCCAGTGTGTGTCTCTAAATTATTACAATGATTCGTATTTTTCTGGGTATCCCTGTGGAAAAGTCCACTGGAGGTGAATTTTGGTTGCCAGGAGAGTTTTYTAATAGGCCTTGCCTCAAAACAGACAATAGGCTGAAATTATAAAATACATTAAAACCATGTTTGGTTCCATCTAATAGTTTTTGATCACKGATATTTTTTAAAAAATAGCATTCCATTGGAAAAACATTCTGAATTGTGATGTTTCTTATTTATCCAGTGAATGTWGGGTATTTTCAGATACATTCTCAGGCTTTTAAAAATACAGTTTTTATCCTGTGCTGTTTGGGAATGCYGTACCAAAAAGCTACAAAAATACCCACTCACTGTGTACAAGCAATGACACAGAGAGAACATCTCTGCAACATGATCCATTTACTTTTCCTAGTAAGAAGTCAGATTTACAAAATCTCTTCGAATTGCTAGTAAAAATACTTGTTTATCTGTGCCAATTAGTTCCATGTGAACTCCCACATTCCTGTGGTCCAGACTAGGCCAGGTACAAGGGACAAGGTCCTTGCCAAGCTGCCAGTACAAACATCTTTTTGTAAGCTTACCCTTTTCCAGACAAGCCATTTAAAACAGACTATGGTATTGACTGTAGATTAGAGGCAGAGCGTTTGGCAGATCCCTGAATTTTAAAATGGAGGAAGGGAAAACACGCGGAGGAAATATGGAAATGGTATCTGAGAAATTCAGTGTCAGCAGCTTAAGTAGTAAAATTGCGTGGATAATACCTTATTGTATGTGCTGTAACCTTTTGCACACTTTGGAGAGTAGCACCGATAGAAATAACAAGCCCTAAAAACAACTGATAGCTGCCAAGAAAGACAGAACCATCTGTCTGAAATAGCTCTGAATTTCTTCTTTACTRGCCCCAGACGTTTTTAGCATAATCACGGTAATAATCACAGCGAATTGAAAAGGATTTCAGGAGCCAGCAGGGCTGGATGAGGTGGTCTCAGAGGAGCTTTGTGTGTGTTTGCAGCAGGCAGAACCAGCTGAAGGACCAGCAGCACCAGCAGCAGCAGCAAGTGGTGTCCCTGTGCCAGCTCCCCGACGAGGCCGAGTGCCTGACGGTGCCGCGCTACAAACGGGACCTGGTGCAGAAACTGAAAATCCTSCGGCAGGAGCTGTCCCAGCAGCAGCCTCAGGCTGGCCATTGTCGGATCGAGGTGTCCAGGGAAGAGATCTTTGAGGTAATTKGAGATTTGGAGCTGTTTCTTTGTGTGGAGGGAAGGGGAAGGGGGTTCGTTCACTGAGATGGAATCTTGAAGGCTGCAGTTAAAGCTGGGSTTTTACCGTGGTGAAGAGGAAGAACTCCAGGGGGATATCAAGAGAGTCATGTCATTAAAATAGATGAATTTACCCTGCAAAGAAGAAAAAAATCAAGGAAAACTTCTTCAGTGGCTGGAGATGTACAGCCTGTCAGTGATTGGCGAAGGAGTCCAGGCACTTTGTGTCTCTGAAGATCCTTGAATTTGAGAAGCTGATGACTGTTTCAGAGGGGATGTTACAAATGCAACACTAAACTGTTACTAGTGATCTTAGGTATAATGTAGCTTAAGTAAAATTACTGCTGAATAGGATTCCTCTTCAGAATTTGGATTTCTCACCATCAATCCCAGCTCTCTCTCCAGATTCAGACCAGTTTTACAAACTCTCTGGGCTTCTGAATGGCCAGAGATGCCCACAGTGGGGTTTCTGCATTCTGTTTGGGGCATGATTCAGCAGAATCATTCTGTTGACTAATCTGGAGAACAGTTTATCCTTCTGAGAGCTTTCACCCATCCCACCCATCCCTGCTGTGTTTTTACCCCACCCAAAAATTTGATCGCCCCACTGTGTTGTCACAGTTYTTTGCAGCCAAGAAAGATTTGTGTTGGTCTTCCCTTTGGAGCCAGACAGATCAGTTTGTCAGTAACTGGAAGAGGAAAGGGGGGAGGCTGCAGGATTATGATGTTCCTGTTCAGTCCAGTGTCCCCACACACCCACCTGCCTCCTGTGTCCTGTAGAGACAAAGCTTGGGGCTGATAAATATGAACTTTTCTTTTTTATCTAATTCCCTAGCATTTGTTCTATCTTACAGCTTGCTTTCTGTGTTTCCTTGGTGGAGTCTTACTGGCAGAGGGATAATCCCTTAGATTTACTGGGATGGCATTGCTGCTTCTGTTCTTAATGTGCTTTTTGAAGGCTGGCACATGTTTTTTACCCAGAGTAGAAGCTCCACTGTTGGCTTTTCAGACTGCAAAAACCAGGAGTCTTTATAGAAAACAAAAGGAATTTATTGACACAATATTTGAATAAATTAGGTGAGAATGAAGGAGAATGTTCTGGTCACTGAAGAAGCAATCTGTGATTGGGAAACTGATGAGTATCCAGAGAAATAATGTCCCCTTTAAGGGTGTTCCCTTTGGGCTCAGAGTACACAGCAGCAGCTTCTACTCTGTAAACAGCAGTTAATAAAAGGAAGTGTTGTGTGTTTACAGGAATCCTACAGGCAAGTCATGAAGATGAGGCCAAAAGACCTGTGGAAACGATTAATGATAAAATTTCGTGGCGAGGAAGGCCTTGATTATGGAGGTGTTGCCAGGTAAAACAGTGGCTCCTCTGTCTCTTCCCTGCACCCAGCCCTGCCAGCCACCCTGTGCTTTGAATCCTGAGCCAGCCCAGTATCAGCCCTGCTTCTTTTACATTATTCTTATTTATATTCATATTTATATCTGTAACAGATTATATGTCAGAAGAATATATGGCTTTAGGTAGTATTTTCAGAGAAAAACTGCATTAAAAAAGGAACTAATTTATTGGAAATAAAAAGCAAGTTACAGATCGTGTCAAACATATGTGAGAGGTTTTGGTATCTATTGAAATTAATATATTTTTCTTTGGTTAGTGAAGTTTGGCTATGTGAGAATATATGCCACCAAATACTTGGCTTTATGGCACAATTTTAACCCAAAAATGTGCTTTATTGTAAATTGTMACTGCTGTTTGAAGCAACGTGTTAAAAACCTTCAGTTGGTGGGCAGCTTCAGTCTGTCAATAGTTATTTTTCACTTATAMAAAATATGACATGCCAGATTCTCAGACCATTATTTACTGATTTGTGAAYACATAATTAGAATTTGAATTAAATACGTTCATTACCTAAAGATGGTTTATATCAAGGGCTTTGATTCCAACATCTCTATATTCAAGTGAATCTGTAATGCCTTGTCTTAGTGTGTAATGGCTGTAGGAGAATCAGAGTCAGAAATTCTCTTGGAAATAAGTAACGTGCAGAAAAATCTTGGAAACCTGGGAAACCCATCAGCTGTCAGGTGCTGGGTGGTTACTGAGCCAGTAAAAAGAATTCTGATTTCAGTCTTGTTCAGAGATCATTTCCTTCATGTTTGTGTTTAATAGTAAGACTTTAAAATCAGACTATTTTGAAAATATTCTCAGTGTAGGAATGCATGTCTGTAGAGTCCCAATAAATTATTTTATGTTCTCAGGGAGTGGCTGTACCTGTTGTCCCATGAAATGTTGAATCCTTACTATGGGCTCTTCCAATATTCCCGAGATGACATCTACACCCTGCAAATCAACCCCGACTCCGCTGTCAACCCGGTAGGGCTGGTGCAGTGTGCTGAGAATTGGTGTTTTCTGAGCAGAAATCAAACACATTGGGGAGGGTTCAACACCAAGGAACCAAATTCTTACAATTGCTGCTGCTGGACACTGAATTTGTACAATTATATGATAGTTTATTTTTTTGATCAAAGAAAYGATTCAAATGGGTTCTGAATTTTMTGTARATTCTCARTTTATGTTTCCTTTGGGAGAAATTCAGTTTATTTTGATTGTGACTTGTCAGACTCCTGGACTGGAAGCGATATGCTCAGTGTGCTGTGTATGAAAACAAAACCAAACCTCTGCACAGGGCTTGGGGTTTTTTTCTTTCCTGCATATTTTAATTTTGTCTCATACTCAGCAGTGGGGTCCTACCCAGCTGAATGGCTTTGTCTCCCCTCTCTGTTGCAGGAACACTTGTCCTATTTCCACTTTGTGGGCCGGATCATGGGCATGGCTGTGTTCCACGGGCACTACATTGATGGTGGCTTCACGTTGCCTTTCTACAAGCAGCTGCTTGGGAAGCCAATTACTTTGGATGACATGGAATTGGTTGACCCTGACCTCCATAACAGCTTAGTGTGGATACTGTGAGTACTCTGTAGGGTACCTCGGGATGTTGGAATGCWGTCTCTGTTATGTGATAATGGTCCTAAATCCTGGAAATAAGCTGTATTTTGATTTCAGAAATCTTCCTTGCACAATTCAGCTTTTTTTAGGCTAAAAATGTTCAAACTACTAAAATTTTGGGTGTGGTATGGTGTGGAGTTAATAATTTATAATTTAACCTATTATTAACAGCAACATGTGATTAAAATATAGCATTGAAACTTTGATAATGATTTTAAAATATAATGCAGTAAAACTGCATGCTCACCTTCTTCTTCCAAGCAGTACTTTGAAATGCCACTGAAAAATGAAATTGTGTTTCTGTCAGGTAAATCATGGCTGTAATGTRTTTGCAGAATATGTTTTCCCTCAGTCACTTGCTGCTTTCTTTGCACAGTGAGAACGATATCACCGGGGTGCTGGACCACACATTCTGTGTGGAGCACAATGCCTACGGGGAGATCATTCAGCAYGAGCTGAAACCCAACGGCAAAAGCATCCCCGTGACAGAGGAGAACAAAAAGGAATATGTCAGGTACAGCCACAGCCTTTTCCAGAGGTTTTTTTCCTGTTTCCTAAGGTGGGGAGGAGCCTTTGCTYGTTGAGGGAATTGTCATTGTCGTGCTGTTGGGTTTTGCTGTGGGTTGTGCAGTGGTGGTGGGGTGATGCTGTCAGTGGGGCCGTGTTTTTGGGGCTGGATAAATCACAGGTTTATTGTGTTTGAATACATCCCACAAACCCAGTTTGCACTTTCTCACAGACTTTACGTGAACTGGCGGTTTTTACGAGGAATTGAAGCTCAGTTCCTGGCGCTCCAGAAGGGATTTAATGAAGTAATCCCACAACATCTGCTGAAGACATTTGATGAGAAGGAGTTAGAGGTCAGTGCACCAGGGCTGTGTTGTGTCGTGCAGGGTAAAGAGGCTTTTGGAGCCAGAGCAGCACAGAGCTGTGTCCCGGTGCTCCCAGTGTGCTCCAAGCTGGGATAGGAGCAGGGTCAGGGTGAGCAGGTCAGGGGCCACTGAGGATGTTTGTGCCTCCTGGGAGAGCTGTGGGAGTGTTCCTGGAGGTGACAGCTCACAGCACAACTGGCCARACCCTCCCCTGTAGCTGAAACCCCTCAGAGACCTGCAGCCCTGCTTCTCTTTAACTGACAGGTCAARGCACTTTGGTGTAAGCTTGGAATGGTTGTTTGGTTTGGGTTTTTTTTTTAAATTGAGCCATTTAAAAAATGGTTGTGTACAAAGGTAAAATTTTAAAAATGAGAAAGTTTTATTTCTGCATTGCTTAAGATGAGTGAGAAGTTATAATTTGCCTTTGGTATAAAATCTGTCAATTTTTCTCAGTCAGTTCATCATTTGTCTGGCTCCAAACCCATTTTTAYAGTGATCAATGATGAAATATTATAATCACTCTATTTTTAAATTTMCAGCTCATCATTTGTGGACTGGGAAAAATTGACGTTAACGACTGGAAGGCAAATACCAGGTTAAAACACTGTACCCCAGACAGCAACATCGTGAAATGGTTCTGGAAAGCTGTGGAGCTCTTCGACGAGGAGAGGAGGGCACGGCTGCTCCAGTTTGTGACTGGCTCCTCCCGGGTGCCTCTGCAGGGCTTCAAGGCATTGCAAGGTAACAGCAGCAGGAGCTGGGGAGCTCAGGAATCGCTGGAAATGCAGCCGGGTGACTCCTACAGAGCGATTTGAATGGTCTGATTACAATCAYTGAGTAGCTGCTTTTTGTGTGTTTGCCTGGTACCTTCTTATTCAGGTGCAAACGGCTCCTTTCAGTTCTGCACTTCCTTCTCTGGCAGGAGGTTCTGGACAGCTCAGATCTTAGAGGGCTTCTCCTTGGGTGTGTCCCAGAAGCTTTAATTCGTACCCTTTACAAGCTCTCATCCCCTGCACAGCTCTGGGGGTTCTTTTAGACCAAAATGCATTAACACAGCTCAGGCTCAGACCTATAAATAACAGCAGAGTCCCCGTGAGAAATCAGACCCTGTAAATTGTGTTTTTAATGCCTGCTCGGGCCAGGATTCCAGTTTTGCACAGGTTGGTTCATCTGTAGCCTCTTCTGTCCTTTGTGGCATCACCATGCACACCAGGTCTAAAGGACTGCTGTGCTGCAGTCTGTTCTCTTTAGCAGAGATGTTAAGGGGATTTCTGATAGTCAGATTAATKTAATAAAATTATAAGGAATTGACATTGTGACTCTATGGAATTGCAGTGGAATTAGCCACTATTCAATTTGTTATAAAACARGGACAGGTACAGCTGTGTAAGTTTTGTTGTGTAGGAAGGGTGAGAGAAATTAAATTCAAAACTCTTAGAATTATGCAGTATACTGTGTGAAAAAGGTGATCTATTCATCCTTATCAGTGCTTTTTTCCTTACCTTTCCATGGTTTAATAAGTGCAGGGCTRTGTGGGCAGAGAGGCCACTGGGCCTTTGGCATTTTTTCCTGCCTGTTTATGATCTCACCTTTCTCTGTGCAGAGCTTCTCTTTGTATTTTAGCTGTTGTTTTGTTGTTGCAGTGCAACAAAGACATTTCATGTTATTGCACACAGTAGTGAAGATCTGCTCTGGATTTTCAGGTGCTGCAGGCCCACGACTCTTCACAATACACCAGATCGATGCCAGCACTAATAATTTGCCGAAAGCTCATACCTGGTAAGGCTTTTTCAGTTCTCTGCTGTCATCTGTAGCTTAAGAYCAATCTGTCAGAATATTTGGAGCAGTCTTTTGTTTTGTCTTTCATTACTTAATCCAAGCTGTMYCTTAGGGAGCAGCAGAGCTGTGAAAAGTAGAGATGGCTTTGGTTTAGCTGGAGCTGTGTGGTTTTGTTAAGCCTGGCTGTGCTGGTGGCAGCTCAGRGAGGTGGCAGAGCCCCTGCAGGGATGGCTGAGARCTAAAACYGTGCTGGTGGCAGCTCAGGGASRTGGCACARCCCCTGCAGGGATGGCTCAAAGCTGAAATCTCTGCTCTTCCCTCCCCAGCTTCAACAGGATCGACATTCCCGCGTACGAGAGCTACGAGAAGCTCTACGAGAAGCTGCTCACAGCCATCGAGGAGACCTGTGGCTTTGCTGTGGAATGACCCTCCCAGCCTCACCCAGCCTCTATTTATACTCCTGTCAGCCAGAAAGCCCTTCCTTCCCTCAGCCAAGACTCAAGAAATGCTTGAAATACAGGAAACTTTCCCTTTTCTACACTAGGACACTGGGAGGGAAAGGACAACTTTTGGATTTTTTTTTTTTTAAATTTTAAATTTTTTAAATTTTTTATTTCAAGAAAATAGGTTCTGTGGTTCCTGCCATAGGATCATTCAGCTGCTATTAAAAACTAATATCTTGAACATACAGAATGCTGACTTTTCCTACATTTCAACAGTTAAGCAGTATTCTATACTTAAAGACTACTACTATTTTTGTAAGAGGTAATCTATTATATTTGCCTACCTGATTTCTATTCTCAGATACCAAGACACAACTTCAGCAGTCGGTACAAGTCAYGTTTCAGCCTGTTTTAAATGTATGATACTGAACAGCATCTATACCTGCTATTTTTGGAAAAAAATATTTTGGATTATTCTAACTTTGCATAAAATTGGCTGAAAGAATCATTAATCTTTTTAATGAAAGCCACTTACATGTTAACTGCGTTTTCTTATAGTAAACCATTATATTCTGCAATGTAAATTCCAGGTAAATGTTGCCACAGGGGCTTTTTTTTTATATTTTTCAAGCAGGAATTCCGAATATGACGTTTTGGGGTCCTATTTATATCACTTGTCAGATTCCTCCAGCAGAATTTCTAGTGAGTGACACAGACTGTATTTGGTACAGTCCTTGTGTTTACACGTGGAATAACCTTTTTTTAATGAACAGTAGATGTTTTGATTTTTTTTTTTTTTTAACAGCATTTTTCTAACAAGTCTGTCAAGAGTATTTTTTGTTGCTTTTGACCTTAAATTGAAACACTGCATTTTTCAGCTGTTGAAGCACTGATGGGCTTTGCCAGCAGAAGTCTGTCAGCGGTTTGTTCCAGAACCCATCCTGTCCAGTCAACCAAAGTTTGTTTGAATGCAGCCAAATCATATTCTGTATTTGTTGATGCTAAAGATTTATCAGGTAAAACACGTTGTAATCTTTGTCCAGCTGCTCATGACACGTGGGTTTAAGTTACAACTAAGGAAAAATGGTGTATTGACTGAAATATGTGTAATGTGCTTTGGAAATGAGGTTGTAAGAGCACATAATTTATTGATTGTAGGGATGGAAGTAAGTATATATATGATTTATAACATGGGTTGATCTCTTCAAAGGGGAATAAAATGCACTACCAGTAGAGGGAACTGAACTTTGATGTTAGTTTGGAAATTCTCAGTTAAGATCTGTCTGATCTGCTCGTGGTGTGTGGATAAATCAGGCTGCTTAAGAGACRGTGCCATTCTCCTCTCAGCCATGAGAATATTTGGAATAAGTAGMAGGTTTTTTCCAATCAGTGTTGTGTGTTTGTAACTTAGGTTACAATTAATCATCAAATCTGCACTATTTTTTCACTGCCAATGAGAAGAAAGTCAAAGGTATTGAAAATGCTAAAGGGATGGGATGTAACCAGCTGTTCCATGTTTGCAGTGTAAGTCACAGTGAACCAGCTCATTTTCTGTGTGTTCTGTGGAGCTTGAACTCAGTTTTGTTCTGCCAAGTCTGACTGCCACAGTGAGTAAACTACTGCTGGATGTTGTGTGTTAGAATAGTGGGCAAGGGACTACTTTTACAGAACTGTGGTAAGAATCTGGTGAGCCAAATCCACATGTTGGTTTGATTATTTTTTTTGTACAGCTGCTGCTGGCAGGTTTGTTCCAAGGGACTTTGCTTCCCTTTCTGGGCTGRCTGCAGGCTGAGGCTACTTAGGGATGTGAACAGGAAGAGACCAGGTTTGAAATACATAGATCCTTTTATTTTCATTTCAAGGGACTCTTGCACTCCTGGTGAAGGGCTGCTTCTTTGGCACCCACATTGGGCTCCCCAGTTGAGGGCTTTCAGAGGAGTTGTCACTGTGCCTGTCTGGTTCTGGGGGAGCAGAGCAGATTCTTGCCCAGTGTTTCTCACTCCAAGAGCTCCTCATGGCTGGGAGCACAGCTCCACACCCTCCCCAAACCTCTGCTCAGCCCCTGCAAGTTCTGATGATGTGAGTGACTGTTGGAAGGGATTTCACAGGTTCTTGTGACTGTTCACAGGAGAGGCTCCAGTGCTGTGGAAGTGAAAGAAGTGATTTCACCCTCCCACCCCCCTCAGGCTGTGGCCGCAGCTTCCCTGGTCATGGAACATGGCAAATATAAAATCTGGCTGGTGAATTTATTGAATACAAAGTTATGGTGTCATAAAAGCATCTTTGGGGAGGGAGGAGATGAGCTCTGCAGAATATGGACCCGAGATCAGCTGATAATKACATTCATTTTCACAGCAGCCTTAGCAGTACATGTGTTTTTCTACCAAACATTTTGGTATGACATTGAGAATTTTTTTTAACTGCCACAGATATTGTAAATTTAATATATTATAGGCAAAACTAGACAAATCTGCATTGAACTTTCCATAGCTGACAGATGAGGATGAATATACCAAGTATTTTGAGTGCCTTTCTACCTTCATAAAGACTGAGAGCTTTAACTAAAGCACCTCATCACCCAGTCAGATGTTTATCTGAATATGGTAAAGGGTTGATTCCCTTTCCAAAATTTTGTTTCAAGAACATGTCAGCTATTTTCCCCTCAAAAAGGTGCTAAGCCTAATATTGCATTTTAACCTTGGACTTTCACCCCATGATTAATGTGAATATTTATTTCAATGTGTCCCTCTTACTGGGTTTTACTTTATCCAGTCTTTAGTTGTTTTAGGGAGATGTCACATCATGGTTTTATGCTGTTGCTTTTCATTATGAATGTTTAATTATGAACAGTGACTTTTGTAGATTTCAAATATACAGTTCACAGTTGAGTTTCAGAGGATTTAATTTCTCGGTGTAAAGAGTTTTGTAATGGTGCTTTGTACAGTATGTATTCTAATTTTTTTTTTTTTTTTTGCACATAGTTTCAGTTTCCCTAAACTGATTTATTTGTACCAAATTTTTGTGTTGTACTAAAGTCCAGAGCACACAAGCTGTTTTGAAATTCCTGTCCTACAACACTACATCTGTCCTGAACTCCTGGTGCGTTTAAATGCTGCATTGATGGAAGTTCAAGCTTTGCTCCTGTCACAGCACCATCCTCCAGCTTGATGTAGCATCTTTTTAAACAGCACCACACATTACCAGGTGCCATTTGTTGTACTTTACACTATGTAGTAGGTTCCTGGCTCTACCACATCCTCAGAGCTTTGTCTGTAGTTGTAATTAGTTTATCCAAGTGTAATTACTCCTCCACAAACTGACAGTTCTTAGTTTATCATTTCCATTGTATTTATTACAGAGTGTTTTAGCGTTGGTATCATTGTATTTTCACTCAGCTGTTACATGAGCTTTAACAAAAAAAAAATCTGTATAAAATGGTTTTTAAGTACTTAATGTATGTACCCATGCAGAAGTTGAGCAATAAATTGTATGCTGTTTGCACTGTCACAGCATCAATGGTTTTAAAAGTTTTAAGTTTTTCTTAATTAAATCTTTAAAATGTAAGAATGTMATTTKAAATAACTGGACTTTGTTTCAGGAGAAAATATTTAAAATTTAGTGACTTCCTAGTGCTGTTACCTACAGTAAAAACTGTGCTGAATGTTCTAGTCCAACTCAGCAGTTCTTAACTTCTGGCTCTCATCTACTGGCACGTCTTGGCAAGGACTTATCTCAGCATTGGTGAACAGATGTCTCCTCTCAAAACTTAGCAAAGCTACACCACTGTCCTTGAGGGGAAAAAAAGTTAATTTGGTAAAGACTGGCTAAATTTCATCAACTTAGCTGATAAATATTGTCCCATAAAGGCTTCAAAGTTAGCCAGGCTGACAGCAGCTCCCTGAAAAGGTTTGTACAAGTCAGGGTTTGTGTTTCTGGWTTTGTGGAGGGCTTTTGGTGTGTGTTGTTTGGGTCTGTCTTTTTGCAATGARGTATCTCCTGCTCTAACATCTGTAAAAGAACCTCCTTCACAGGCTGGGGGCTTTTTTTTTCCTTTTCAGTGCATGAGTCTGAGTTCTGTGTGTTGTCAGTTCCATCAGAGACACCCCCTCATAGCAACCTTTAACTATTGTATAGACAGTGCAGTTAATTCCAGAATTCATATATCACACCTTTCACACAGCAATTTTAGCAAGAACTCTTCTAGTACCAAGATAAACTAATTAAGAGTTGCACTTTTGTCAGGCAGAGGAGACTGTATCAGTAATGGACATCATTAATWATCAGCTTTTATGTAATTGTTCTTAGTTTAAATACTMATCCTTCTCTGCTGGCACCTCCTGGGGCCCAAGGAAGATGCTCCAGTACCTGCAGTGCCTTCTGGCAGCTCCTGCTCTGCCTGGAACAACCTGGAGTAAGGTAAAGCTGACTGGTGGAGTATTTAATCACTCTAAATCTGGTTCTGTCAGTGATGGAGTCATCAGGCTGTCCCTGGGAGTGTGGCCCTGTGCAAGATTAGGAATGCTGTCCACAGCTCCTTCCCAGGGTTCACCTCTTGCAGAAGCTCATCMTGCATTGCTTTAGAAGAATCTTCCAAGATTTTTTCTGTTTCAAGCTACTTTTCCCAGTGCATCTGTAGCACAGARGGAGTATTTTATATGCTTTATATTTTATCAACCAGCCAGCAACACCAACACTGCAACCACAGAATTGACTGGAAAGAGGAGTGGAATAAGTAGTCCTCCCTTGCTTAATGTATTTAGAGTCCCAGTTATTTATGTCAGGKTTATTGCAGGCATTCTCTAACTTGGCCTTTCACAGGAAACCTGAACCTTTGATGTTCTTTTAAAGATCTTCTTGTGCTTTGTGAGCTTTCCAAACTGTGATTTCTGGCTAATGGTGTTAGATTGGCTTAGCAACAACAGCCCCAGCACAGATGCAGAGGAGCCTCAGCATCCAACTGTTCCACCACAATAACTTCACTTAAGCACTGTGACTTCATCCCTCTTCCTGTGGGTAGAGCCCAACATTATCCCAGTCTTGCTAAAGAGATAAGAAATAGTTCAGAAACTTTATTGATGATCATAAAAGTGCTGTGGAAATCCCAGGTCCCAGCAGCTACAGCCCTGACAGGCCAAAATGACAAAACAGATATTTTAGAGAGAAAAACAGCCTCACACCATCTTCCCATTACAGCAGCCCTCAAAGACCTCTGATCATCTTAGCCAGGGAGAACTGCAATGACATTTACCCGAGTCTTAAAAGAAATGGCTTTGGCTGTACTGGAAAGAAGCCATCTGAAGCCTGGATCTCAGTCTGTCTGCTTCTAGTTCTTGAAAAAAGGTGTCATCATCATTTTTCAAAATTGCTGCTTGCAGTTGCTGTATTTCCTTTTCCATCTTTGATCTCAGTTCTTTTTTTGTTTTCTGTAGCATCTAAAGAAAATACTGACATTAGTCACAGCATGTAAAAAGAAAAGGCAGTTGGATAAAATTAGGAATACTTACTTGTGCTTGTACTTGCTCTCTGGTTTGGATTTCTTGGAATTCTTGAGATAYAGCTTCTGCTAGCATGGAAAACTAAACACAACACATGTGTGAGTTGAACTAATTAAAGAAGAAAGACTTCTAAATGGAAAAATATGACGTGTCTGATCCAGATGAAGCTTTACCTGATCTTTGTAGTAGTTCTCCAGAGACTCCAGCTCCTTCTGGTGCTTTCKCTGTTGCTCATCACGCTTGTCTTGAGCATATTGTCTCAGTTCCCTCAGTCTTTGCTTCTGGAGTGCTAAGCCTTCTTCAAATAAGCTTTTAAATATCTGCCAGCAATTAAAAAAAAGCAAACCTGAAACTTTCCCAGGAACTTGTAAGTATACATTTGTGGTTTTCAGCTGCTTTATCTCCTGATGGAAYGGTGTTTACATGAGGATAGGCTGTAGCCTATGAGAAAGTACAATTGTGTACCTAGAAATGGTGGTGCAGATGCAGCTGAGCTGAATTTGTATTACTCATTTAGCTGAAATTGTGATAGATAAAATAATTTTTCATGTCAGTTTAGTCAGATGACCCRCCAGTGCAAGCCAGGGCCTTTGAACACACACTGTGATTTACAACCCATCCTGTACTCTGCAGTCTAATTTCAGGACCTTCATCCAGATTTCCAGCAGCAGGAAATCCAGCCTGGACTCAGGCTTTCCATTCCTCCACAAGAACACTTACCAGCTGTAGCTCACAGCTTGAGAAAACAGTTCTCAAATCACTACCAGTGGATTATGCAGTAAACTTCTAATCTCTTCTTTTGAAAGGTGACAATTRTGTATCTGCTCTTGCAGGGTGTAATAACTCTCCTCTCTATCCCTCACTCTGATGTCCAGCCCTAATTAAATCATATCTGTCACAAAGTCCACTTTGTTTAACAAACACAACTGAACAGCAAAGCTGCCTGTTTGATCAGCTCCCTTAACAGAAGATTTAGATTGTTTTCTTTGGATGATGACTATAGGAACAACTTCTTAATCCTACTGTTTCTGAAAACTCATTTCCCCAATTTCTCATGTTACTAGCCCTGTTTTTCCACATTGATACTTCACCCTTTCTCTGCTCTCAGCTCCATAAATCATCCTTTCTTGTTTCACAGTGGTTTGCTCTGCACTSTGTCCATGTTTCCAGAGAAGGAACAGTTTCATCTGAGGCCCTGACTGACCAACCACTTCATCTTGGCTCTGTGCTCTGCAGCATTAGATGAACTACCAGAGCTCAGCACTGGGGTCCAGATGAGAATAACTCCAAGAATCCTGCACTTGCAGAGCAAGACCCCTTGTCCTCACCTTCTCCTCCCGTGTCCTTGCCCGCATCATCTTGGCCCGGAGCTGCACCCTGTAATCCTCGTAGTATTTCCTGGCCCGGGCCACCTGCTGCCGCTTCTCGGTCAGTTTGTTCTGAGCCCATTTCTGCCGGTRGATGCGCTGCTTGATGTCTTGCTAAAGGGAGAGGAGCTGTTAGACCACTGAACTGCCAACARATACTGCTGCAGGCAAAGCTTTGTTAATCATTGTTAATTAGGGTCCTGAAGGAGTTTCTTCACACCCCAGTTTTACACTGCAGTTATGGTTTAAAGCTTTAGTCACCACTGATGTAGAATTAAGGAGTCAGCACTGTCATGGGAGCTGAAACACCCAGAACCTCAAGATTCTCCTCCTTGCACTTTYTTAGAATTTGTTTTACCTTTTAAAGCAACAATGCAGTATCATCATCTTTCATTCCATTCCATGACCTCAGTAGTCACCCAACAGATTGTGGCATTTTGAGACCACAGCTACTCAAAAAGCATAAAGTTGTCATAAGATAAAAAGCCACTTTCATGATCTGGGAATAGGGGTTCTCAAAAGCTCAATGYGAAATCTTTGTGTTATGTAACAAACCATCTTCAAAGAACATACCAGTCTCTTGCTCTGATCTTGATCTTTCTTAATAATTGCAGCAAGAAGCTCGTGTTTCCTCAAGGCTTGTTCAACCTGCAGGTTTAAAAAAAAAAGAAAGCTAATTACTTGCATCATTGTGCAGGACAAGCTGGTCTCTGGAGCAGATTTAAATACTGCCCTCTGCTCTGGTTTGGGTTTTGTATTGAGAATTGCCACATATAAGTTAATCAACTTTTGTATCTGATAACTCTCTTCTAAACTAAAAGCACTAGCAATGGAAATGCTTTTTTAAAAAGCAATAGTAGCCCTGGGCAGTACTTGAGAAACCAGYATAAGAAAAGGACCATCAAGTAGCTGATGAGAAGTTGAACTCGTGTATGCAAGTCTGTACATCCCGATTTAACCAAGCTCACAGAACATCCTTGCAGGCTGTGCAGGTGCCCTGGCTGTGCTGCTGCTGTGGTGTCAGAGKATCTCTGCTGACACTCAGCAGCTAAGGAGAACACTCACCTCATTCTGGAGTTTCACTCTAGGTCTGCCAGCAGGTGCCTTTAGGTGTGCAGTGTGTGCAAGYTGCCGCTGCCACATTTTACCCAGAGTCCGTGCAGAAATGTGCAGGCTGGGAAACTCCTCCAGGAGCTGCAAGAGGAGGTCATTGTCTCTTACTGTCACTGGAAGATAAAGACAGATGTAAGCAACAAATTCCTGGAGAATACATTTAGTTGTAAATTCATCCAAACAGTGTCRGCCTAAGTCATGAAATATTTTACATAGCTCACTATAAAGTGACCATGCTGCTGTGACCATGTGAGAGTAAACCCAGCAGGGCATTAACATCATCCTGCCAGTTCAGCAGCAGAGAAAGCAATCCCATCTTTTGTTGTTTTCTCTGAAGAATCACTTTTATAGGTGTCCTTACCCTCCCACCACCCCATCCAACTAAGACAGGTATCCCTTCTGTCTTCCCATGGTTCTGACCATCACTAATCAGTGATTGCTATAATTCTCTCACTTTGGTTGCAGCARCTTAAAATAATGCCAGCACAGCAGTGGCAATGACAGATCCAGGTCAAGTAAACAGGTGCAAAATAAACTGGTGTGCAACCAGCTCGTTCCCATTACATCTTTGATCTTTCTGGCAGRAAAAGATGATGGGGAGATGAAACAAAAGGGTATTTACCAAGTATATGGCCTTCAGAAACTGGAAAAAAATAAAGTGATGTGGCTGAACAACATCCAGGTATATAGGGGATTATCTGGTGATCTAATCCATAGGCATGCACAGTGCTGATTACCAAAACTGAGCCTGGGATTGGCAGCTTGGCTGTTCTTGAGCATCACGTGCTCAGCAAACCAGTGGCAGGGTCAGACAGATCCTGCTCTGTAACCTTTACCTGGCTCAACTCAAGCCAAAGGCCCAGTTTAAAATCTCATAAGTGCTCAGAAAAATAACAAAAGAAACACTGTAGTGGAATAAGCACAGGAGTAGCAGCAATGGAAACAAGCCCTGAAAATAATCCAAGGGATTTTAAGGAAGTAGCAAACAGGTCACAATTTGATTGTGCACTGATGGTTTACATTTACTTAGAGCATTATCTTCCCTAACAAAAATCCAGACATATAGAGGTCAGAAGAAGGGAAAATGCTACAGCTGACTGGTATATGTTGGACTGGTGCCTTTATCCTTGGAGTTCAACACACACTTTCAAAAGATGCCAGTTTTCCACCAAGTATAGTTTTGCAGTTCTTACTTGGAGCTGCTTGCTTTGGCTTCATGATCCCCCGTTTTGGAATCCGCTGGCTGTGTTTGGGATACTGAGGTGCRGTTTTTCTAGAACAAACTTTCACTAGCTGAGACATTTTTGGAGATTCTTTAAAGACGTTTTCTTTGAAYTCTTGTTCCTTAGGGGTAGATGTAAAACAGATGGAGAACAGGTATGAGAAGGGAAAGACTGATAGAACACAGTTTGGCTATCAGAACTTAAATGCCTTTCAGACTTAAGAATGAGAACTTGGACATATAGCATTGAATTCTCTAGAATTTACCAAATGCAGGTCAGGGTTCAAATAAAGGTTAAATCTCATTATTGCATAACCTCAGCTCTTCTGCAGCACTTAACATTAGTAAGTTACTATTTTAGTTGTAACTATGACAGGGGCAGTCGAGGTTTTGTACCCAGAAGTGTCTGAACAGACCATCTAGGCAAATTTTAAAAGAAAAAAAAAACAACCAAACAAAACACAAGCAACAATCCCCACTGTGCATCACCTACCCTTCCCTTTGCAACTTCTTTGGCTTTAGAAAGTTTATGCTTCTCCTTCGCTTCATAAATTCTTAGATCATGTTCATAAACTTTATTGACCAGCTAGAAAATAAAAATAAAAGGACTTGTCAGAGGAAATAATCAGTGCACATAACCACCTTAAGCTATTTTTGCAAAATTTGGGTTTTAAGTCTCTTCCTCAACAGGCTACAGATAAAAAAAGCACAATTACTAAAGGAGACCAAATGCCCCCATTATCTAAGAGAATTGCTTTCATGGATTTAGCGTAACTGTTGGTAAGAATTAACATAAGGTATAGYTTCAAAATTACCTTGGTTTTTCTTGCTCTTTCATCCCTTTCTCTTTGCAGCTGGCTGCGTATTGTGTTCATTTGGTCTATTCTTTTCTCACAGAGTTGATGTTCCTGATGTTGAGATGAGGGTGAAGATGGGATGGAGATGGAGAGGGATCGTGGCCTGCTGGGGTACCTTGGATGTGATGTGTCTGTAGGGAAAGGTCATTCATTGAGAATCTGAGACAAAAACCACCCCAGCAAAGGGTTTTGTGACCAGGCCCTCATTTCAGAACCACAGYCCTGTGAGCTTCTATTCTGTCCCTCTGTCCACCTTCTGTACATTTTTTACTGCAGCTGTGTTTGCCTTGTATATTTTGTAAAGTTTTACCACCATTTTTTAAGTGTTGAACAGAAACTTGGTTTCGATTCTGTTGCTGTTGCTCAGGTTTGGATCAAAGACAAAATAGAAGTGAACTAAAATACAAAACWAAGTAACTAACTGCAATTCAGTGTAGCAGCTTTACATGAAAAGGTTTCTGTTATATTCTTTTCTATCCCAGTACTTAACTAGCACAAGGATTGTTACCTCTCTCAGCTGTCATCTGGCGATAGTCCATGACACTGTCACTGTGGTGTGACAGGGTGTCCTCATCTGTCAGCTCCTCTTCTCTTGTGTGCTCACCCAAAGCTCTCTTCAATATCTAAGGGACAGATTGTTTTTGTGGGTGTCAGGTTCAACAGACCATTCTAAAGTTTGAATGAACTAAAGCCGGGTGTTAGTTGCAGATTTGATTTTCATCCATATCCCATTGATATTCTTRTTCTCTCCATTGTCATTACTAAAGCTGGATTGCTCAGCTCAACAAAGAAGAGATTTCACTTACTAAATCTAGTTCATTTAGCCTGCGAGACAGACTTTCTGATGCTTCACGAAACTCTTGCTCAGGCGTCTTCTCCCTTGTTTTTCTGCGGGAAAGTGAATCCTTCAGTGAGTCTGTGGTGGAATTTTTGTATCTGCWAAAGCAGAAAAGAGATTCCATTTTCTAAAAGCTTGAAAATGAGTATTACCTCACACAAATCCAGTTCACTTATTGTGTAAGCATGTTTTTAGAGGATTAACTAGAAGTTGGATGTGTAAATGCCTATAACTATATTTAATAAAATGAATGTATGTCAGGACAAACAGGAAATCTTTGTGTTAGAATTAATCTTTCRCTGTCACACAGCCAAGGAAGAAGAGATCTTATTTAAAAGGGAGGTGTGGCTGGCTGGTCATGGAAATGAAAGTGCCAGTGTGGCTCAGTATCAAAAATCTGAACTTACCTTGTTGTTCTGGGCCAGTACCGAGATTGGGGTCTTGGAGTTTGTTTTACTCGTTCAGCACGTAGTGAGAGCTTTTCCTCTAAGGAGGAGGATTTAGACTCATATAATGAAAGCCCCTAGAAAAATGAGTAAAGGAAAATTTWATAGATCATGTGAGCAGAGATACTGTAACAGAACCATCTCAAACCCTGAATAAAGATATATAGAAATAGTTGTATTTCCAGGTCCCTGACTGCAGATAGCTTTAGAGAGTTAATGTTTAAAGAAATGGACTAGCAAAAATATRGAAGAACAGCTAAACCACTGAACCAGAACAGGTGTAGGTTAAGGTAAGGAGTATCCCCACATTCCACCTCATCAGCCTGGGACTGATGGCAGGTAGTGGAAATAAGCTGAGCTTCACTCAGTACAGACTGAGCTGCAGCTCACAGCGAGCCAGAAGAGAACAATCCTGTCCTTGTGCCATTGAGCTGCACTGCCTGGTGACTTCTCTGTTCAAACTGGAGCAACTTGGGCTTGGCATGGACACACTGGGAAATGCACCAATGGAAAATGAATTTTAAACAGAGACAATGTAGAAGTAAAAGGTGYTTAAAAACTATTGGAACAAGTGAAGTCTGTGAGTACCTCTTGTGGTTACAGAAGGCAAAAATAGTGTTTCCAGAGAAACTTCCTATACAGACACATTTCTATGGCACAGAATGGCAYCTGCTGATCAGTTTGTGGGTTTTGCATTATTCAGTTTTTGAAAAGCAAAGGACAAGGCTAGAAAATAAAACTAAAGAATGTAATAGGCAGTTCAGAGATCTTTATAAAGGAATAAATCTAAGTTTTATTGGGGATTGAACAACCCCCAAACCCCCAAAATTCTTACTAATTTAGAATGCTGATACACTTCAGAGAAAGGACGTGACTATAGTCTTGTGCCTTGTACATTTYTGATTAAAAAGCAAGATAACCAGTAACTGGTTGGTTGTGATAAATTAGGGTTCTCTGGGTACTGGCTCTGTACATTTTGGAACAAACAGCTCCAGGAAGAATTAAGAACTGATACAACTCCCAGATTGCACATAATCACAGTCTAACAACACTGCTTCACTGGTTGTATATTGAGGAAAGCAAGTCCAAAGCAGTGGCTTGAAATAAGCCAAGAAGTGCCACAAGATAACAGAGAAATTAAGCAGAAATCCAAAAATACTGATTGAAATTCCAAAAGTAAAGATGCAACATGTACCTTTGTCACATTGTCCTCAGCATCATCTGGTCCCACCACTTCTCTCCCTGCAGAAACAGATGACAGGTAAGTGTGAGTTAATGGCACTGTGCCTACTACTGTGGGCAACAAGCAAAAGAAAGATGTGAGCCATGGCCTGTGGTTCCAAATTATTCAGAAAACAGAATGACAAAGCAACTGTGGTTACCCAGCTGTGACATTCATTTTGGTAATTTCTCCAGTCTTCAATGTTCAGTGTCATGGGAATGCTATGGAAACTAAAAAAGGTAAGCAGTGTTTCCAAGGCAACAGAGAAAGTGAGTGCTGAAAAAATAGMTTCTAAATATTTTCTACAATAGCAGTTAATGGTTTTTTCTCAGAACTGAAACTGGCTTGTTTGGTCCATGTTTCTCTTCTCAGAACAAACTCAGCTATGGGACTTATCTGCTGGAGGAGATTTCTGTAGCATAGGCCCATCTTAACGGGATTAACTAAGAAAGGAGTTGAATTGGGGACATGGATTACTTTTTTCCAGCAGGGAACAGATTAAAAGTAACCTATTTTTGTTTCTCTGTAAAGCAGATAGAACTATGAACTTGTGGCTGAATTTTAAAAATTGCACTAGTAGACTCAGAACAATGTTTCCTGTGGTGCCAGTAAAAATAAATGCAACATTATAACACTTAAGAATTACCCTACAGGATGCAAAATTTTCTCTCACCAGACATCTTTCTTGATAGAGGGAGACCATCAGAAAAATCATCAGATTTTTTGGTAACTGACTCTTCAATCTGAAATAAAAAGCAAGATGTATTCTATAAATTCACAGGAGAGTGCTGAGAGGAAGATCATACATTAGGTTTGTCTGCAAATGGACAGTGCTGATTTCATATATAAAAATCACTATAATTGTTTTGTTTACTATACTATAAGCTGTGCAGTTGCATTGACTATGGAGATGTGTATGTATATATGTATAAAATATACCCCTCAAATTCCTTTCTGGACACCTAGTGAAGAATGAATYCACCATCCAAGCTTCATGGAGCTGAGATAAATTCTGATACATTCAGAAGTGTTCTTCAAGGAGCAACTGCTCCCATTCTGCGAGTAAACTAGGAGGTTTTAAAATGAAAACAGCATTGGTTACTGAAAACAAATGAGAGAGTCAAAGGATAGGTTTTTCCTTACAGTAGAAATGGTCATCCCTTGACTGGAAGCCAAAGCTGCTGCCTGTCTGTCTGAGCTGTGATAATCTCTCCATCCCGGATCCGAGGGCTGGAACGGGGGCAGCAGAGGAATTGCTTGCTGGATRGGCTCCCCCAGTTTTGTAGCACTGGCACTCAAGCTCCCTCTGTGAGATTCAGCAGCATGAACAGGCTCCATCCCTCCTGAAGAGGCAAAAACAAACAACTTCAAGTGTTACCTGGGAAAGCAGAACRTGTTTTTTGTATTGTCTATACATAATAAGGGGAAGTGTCTCCATGTCTAATGTGAGCTGCCACCTTTGTTGGATTGCATAGGACAGTGTTGTAACATTTTYATGCCTTGAGAACATGATTTTGGATGTGGGGATATTCCACAAGGACTTCTTACTTGTATATTTTGAACCACAAAAGAAAAGAATACAAACCACAATTAAAAACAGTCTAGCTGAAGCCAAATCCTAGCTAAGCAGAAATACTGCAGGTAAGTTTGCCTACTCTGAGAGACTAAAATATCATATTTCTGAAAAGAATTTATATTAAAACATGACTAAAGTGTTTTCATTCATGACTAAAGCTCTCCTCCACACTACCTTTGTTCCCTACACCCCTAAGTCAAAATCAGGTGGATAAGCTGTCAAAAGAATCAATACTCACCATCTTCCTTTTCCTTTACAATCCCCCTTTCACTTTCTGAGAACAGGCTGGGCAATGTTGTAAGAGCCTCTGAGCTTTCAGATTCTTCTACCCCTGTGTCCTTTTCCGCTACACACAATATAGGCATCTGAAATTCTAGAAGTGAATGTTTAAAAAGATTAAATTAAGATCTATAAAGCATCTTGMTATGAACTGTTGAGATGGACAGTTTTAATGTTTGCTAAGTTAACTACCTGGTGTCAGCAATCCACACTATGCTCAGAACAGTTAAATTCTTACTTGTAATTTCAGTCAATGAAATGTTCATAATTCATAATATTTCTTTATGGGTTGTTTGGGGTTTTCTCAGTAAGGATTTAAAACAGTATTTGTCTGAAACATCTTTTAAAAAGGAAATATAAAAAAAAGGCTAGAAGTGTTTTTTCAGAAGAGTCTTAAAATTCTTTTTCACCCAAACTCACCTTCCCCTCTCCTGGAAAATGAATGAGCAGTTTCTCCAAGTTTAATTAATTCACTGGTAGWTTCTGAGACGTCTGATTCACAAGTTAGAACAAAATATTCTGACTGGGACCTAGRGGAAACATAAAGCCATCAAATACTTCCTCTCTCAGCCTCTGCCCGTTCGGCCCACGAGATGGAGCTGCTGAAGAGCCGTGCAGGACACGGCCCTGCTGCCACAGAGCAAACCAGAGCTGCCGTCACAACAAACTCAATTCACCTGAACCAAAATACAATCWTTAAAACTGATCCAAATTTTCAAGTTGTTTCATTGCACATAAAAAATAAACTTAAGGGAAGCAAAATCAGCAACTCCTCAAGGGCAAGAAAAGCCCCAGCTGTAATTTTAGCCTGACCAAAGGAGTCACCCCACATTCCTTCTGACATATGTAATCAGCAGGTATCCATACCATAAAAAACTACTGATTTCTCTACAGCTACACAAAGAYAGTCAGTCACTGTGTCAAAGCAAATACTCAGAATTGTTCTTACCCTTCAGTGGATGAGAGTTCTGTGCTCTGTGTAAGTGGACTAGCAGAGCTTTCCAGCTGCTCTTCAGATGTAGTTTGAATTTCATTACTGGACAGCAGATTTTTTGCAGCTGTTAATAATCAAGAGATAATTATTTTCAAGAAAACTACTTCTACCTATAACCTAACAGGTGTTATCACCAATAACATCACAACAGTTTATGTGTAATATCAGCATTATAATGTTTTATTTGAAGTAATAACAATGTAATGTTCCCCCATGGGGGGGCAACTTTTATGGTAAGTTTGGAAAAATTATACCACTACCATATAACCCTTTGTTCTAATTATTAATAAACTTTTTTTTTGCTTCTCTTCCCATTTTCCTCAAAATAATCCCTGCTATGGATCTACTGCCACGACAGGCTGTCAACCCCCTTGTCTCCTTGTAAGTAAAAGGGACATTTCCTCATTGTTCCAATTAAAATCAACACTTTCCTCCTCAAATCCTAATTTTAAATCAGTTGATTTATAGGTTGGAAAGCAACTCACAAAGGATGAATTRTCTAGAGTAGGTTTCTGCCATAAGAATGAAGCAGAAAGATCATATAAGTTTGGGGGGAAGTTGTTCTATATTATTGTTGTTTATGAAAATAAGGAATGCAAATACTCAGTTTCACCAGGGAAATTTCCTCCCCCAGAGTCAGTTTTGTCCTTCTCTCCATTGTCAAGGTTATAAGTAACAAAAAAAACCCCAAATACATCTTTGCCACATTGGAAACAATTTGGATTTTACATCTCACCTCCAATCTGGGAAGATGCTTCACTGACTTCTGTAAGATACTCTAACAAACCATCAAATATTTCGAGGAGGTTTTTGATAGATTCCTTGTCTCCTTTCACAATGTTCTCACCTTAAGAGAAGACAATGCAACATATTAATAACTCAGACAGAAGAAAAATTCTCAAAAGCAGGCRTTTTCTGTAGGAGAGGACTTGGAAATTCTTGTCAAGGTGTCAGCTCAGAAAGCACCTGGTCACTTATTTACAGTTATTTATGTAAGCTCAAGGTATATTTTAAATGCCCTAAATTTGCATCTTTTCAGTTCAAATAAGTGAGAGTTTACTGATGCAGTAACTGCTTCCACACACACATACATTCAGGGGTATTTTCAGGGATAGTTGATGTTAATAATTCTTTTCTTATACATAAAACTCTAGCATGAACCAGKCTAAGGAGTGACAGCAGGATTGCAAACACAAGCTGCTGTGTATGGGCACCAAGTCAGAGATAGTTCTTATCRAGCAGTTTTCATTCTTTGCAGGTTTTGTTATGTGAGACCATGCACAGGGAAAGCCACTATCTGTGTACAGATAACAGACACAACACAGTTCTTTATTCACCAACTTTTAAAAATGAAATAACAAGTTTGAAACTCCAGGGTCATGTCTTAAAATCCAGTGCCCAAGCATGAGCCAGTAACAAATTTCAGGTAACACTTTAGCAGCTGAATGAAGCATGGCTGACTGTTAACTCTAACATTTCTTTCTCTTATTTATTCTCTGCTTGCTGTTTCAATTTATAACCTGATGTCCAAGGGGTCAGTGTTCTCATGACATCTACTACCATAAAAGACCTTCCATGCAAATTTGAAAGCAAGCTGTATAAAACCTGCTTCTTWAAGTGTTCAAATTAAACCACACAGATATTCAGCTGCTGTTTGTCTCATTAAAGCAAGTACTCACCAGTGATGTGAGATAGGCTGACCTGCAAAAAATCCAATGCCAGGGAATCTATTACTGCTTGTACATTATGTGCATCATCTTCTTGGCTTCTGGGAGTGGCTATGAAATCTATTTCAAATAAATAATAGATTTTAGGCTATTTAAATGGATAGCTTAAATTAACTACTTAATTAAAGTACTTTAACTTCTGCTTACAAGTTAGTATTTTTTCAGTAATTTGTGCCCTTGGTGAAAAGCCCAACTATCATACAGTCCATGAAATATTTTTAAATACTGAGCACAAAACTCGGTAGATCGAAATTGTGAGGGGTTTGTCAGGATTAAATTCAAGAATAGAGGCTACTAAAGCATTTCTGTTCCTTCCCTCCCAGCACACATACCTAGTGCAGATCATCAAACTGGAAATGCAGTTTGTGTTAAGGCTTCTTCTTTCCCTGTCAGACACTATTGCACTGCAATATATTCTACTTAATTGGGAGCAACTGGTTTTAGTTCTTACATTTAACAGGACTTCTACCTACAACAGGTGCCAGTTACCTCAGTGCTATTAAAATCTTCTGCAATTAGTAGTCTGATGCTTCCCACACATAACAGTTCATAAATAAAACAAATACATAATTATATAGCCTTTGCTTTGCTGTGACTGAAGTCCAGTGGAGTTGGGTTAAAGCAGGGTTAAATCACAGCTCTTAGCAGACTATGAGTATTGGGCATTTCATGARAGCAGGCTGTGTTAACACTGCTGTAAGATAAAATGAGCCAGTTCCCACCCTTCAGAAGTATTATGCCCATAGATGACTTTCAAGGCCTAATTTACAACCATTTTGCTGCAGCTAACCTAGTGCAGCTAAGCTAACTCCCCTCATAGCTGCCATTCATAGCAGTCCAAAATTAAAATAAAATTGGCCAATATTACTTAAATCTTCTCAAAGAATCACAATCTTATGCTTTTGTCTTTGGAAGGACACAAATACTTTAAATCCCTCCATCTATAGGAAGCTTTGCGAGTTTCAATTTCATTTCACTACAAAATACACAGAGACAAAAATAAAAAGCAGATTTAGAMATTATCATTCTTACCTGGAACCTTTTCTTCTAAGATTGACTCATAAAGATGAACAAACATGTCAGCACCACATTCTGAGAGATGCTTTATTTGCTGGTTTATGYGACAGCTCCTTAAAAGATCATTGGCAACATCAACCCAATCTATTTAGAAGAAAAACAAATGTCAGRATGGAAAGACACAGGAAAAAAAAAGAAGTCATGGTTATTTACAGTGAAAGTGGAAACCCTGTAAGTGTCTCTGACTCCACCAGAGATGGTCAAAGCCCACCAGACTGTCCCAACCATCCAAAATATTAAAAATATTGTTCTAGTATAACCACAGCTCAACTAGACTTGGGAGGCAGAAGGCACTGAAGCACCACAGGCTGGGCATGTTAATTCTTTTTTTATGTAATGAAAAAAGAATTTTAATTTGGTCTCATAGCTAGGAATGCCAAACCTCTGAGACCTTAAAACCAAGTTTTGACACACCATTTATCAATGGTCAGAAATTACAGGTAGTTTTTTTTTTGGAAAACAGGAGCTTCTCTTACAAGCCCAGGTTCTCTAATACTCCTAGGCAACAACACCACTAATGTAAATGTTCCTCATGAAATGTAAATTCTACTTTAATTAATTATTTAGGGATTCAAAGAATACAGAGGTGGGGCACCAACTGCTCTGTCAAGCACAGTAAGATGCACATTAACACATTAACTTTCCCCAAATTTTGAGTCCTGAGTTCAAAGTTGAAGCACATGTATCCTCTGCAGTCTTCCCTGTCATCTAATTCAAGTATCAACTTAGAAGAACTAAAGTCTTCATCTCTGTTAGCCTGTGAGCTCTCAAATTCAGATTGCCACCCTCCCCCCAAGATGTTGCTCMTGGAAATCAAAATAGTATTTTATCAAGGAGAAGGCAGAAGTCATCTTTGAGAGGAAAAAGTACAGAATTACTRTAACAGAAACCAATTTGCACAGTTTTCACTGTTCTGTACACAGGGTGTATTACTTTGCCACCCCTCTACTCCTCCATTACTTCCAAACATCACTTTATTTTTAACTTCAGGTGCATGAAAGATTAAAGCAGAATCTCCAACAGTTCAGGCTGCTGTCCTGGAAGACCTGAATTACTGTTCWTCTGCAGCTTTATTAGTTTTAAAATGTCGCCAAGAAAGGAAAAAAGCAAAAGAGGGGAAATGGGTGGTTAACGMAGAGAGCTTAAAACCCCACAACAGAAGAAAACAGTTTTAAAGAGCTGAATGAAATGGTGCTAATTTTAAAGAGCTGAATAAAATGGTGCGAGCAGCAGGGGGTGATGAGGGAGAAGGAAGCTCTGCAGCTCGCCTCCCCCGGCGCTGCGGGCACCAGGCCGGCCGGCCGCCGMWCCGGRACCGGRACCGGGACCGGGACCCACCCCACCGCGAACCCTCGCAGGGCCGGGCCCCCAAAAGCCCCGGCCTGAGCCCTCCGAGGCCCGGCAATACCTCGGCCCTCAGCGCTGCCCATGGTGACTGCAACCGCCCGGGCCCGCCCCTGCCATTTAAACCGCGGCCTGCGCGCTCATTGGGCAACAGCCGCAGGAAGGGGCGGGGCCACGCGCGCTGTTGGGGGGGTCCGGTGTTTTCGGTCACCGCCGGTGTTACCGGAGCGGGATGGGCGGATGGCYTCTGTAACGGGATTGGGAACAGGACTGGCTTTGGATTGGGAGCGGGAACGGCGAGGAAAGAACGAGCCCGTGCCCACAGAGAGCCGCAGAGCGGGTCACGTGCCATCCCCGCCCAGTGACGGGCGCCCCCCGGTGCGGCCCCGCCGTTCCCCGCCCGGCTCCCCCCGGTCCCGCCCGGTCGCTGTTGCCGCCACCGCCGCCGCCTTTCGGTCCCCCGGTCCCGCCCGGTCGCTGTTGCCACCGCCTTTCGGTCCCCCGGTCCACCCGGGCCGAGGTCCCCGGGCAGCACAGCCCAGCCCCGGGGCGTTCCAGCCGAGCGCGGCTGGCAGTCTAAAATGGCGACGGGGGAGTGGGGGTGTGACCCGGGCGGTTCCGCCTTCGTCACCTGAACGAGCGGTGGTTGTTGCCATTTTCTCGGTGAAATAGGTGGGGAAAGGGCCGGCCTGGGGCGGGGGTGGAGCGGGGGAAAGTTCTAGCGCTTGACCTTGCAGGCTGGCSTGAGGCGTGTGCCGGCCAGTGCTTCCTTTAACGGGGGGTTGGTGTTAATTGCCACGATACAGGTTTGACAGGGTAACCCGGAGGCTTTTCTGCATGAAAGGAGTGTTTTAAAACTCCTGTGAAATTCACTGTATTGTCAGTATACAGTTTTTTATAGAAGTTGCATGGTGAAACCATGGTGTATTTCTTCCTTTCTGAGCAACAGTATTCCAATRCTCCTCAGGAATTCTGGAATTTCCATGTTGCAAGAAAAAATGGTGCCTTTAATCGTTAAACCCCTCGAGCGTAACAAAAGCAGCTGAGGTCCCAATTTTGACCGTGAGAACAATGACTGGCAGCAATTARGCCTCAGTGGTGTGAGTTCCAACAGCCCACGGGTGTCATTTGTAAATTTAAATCCAAGTGCACACACCACCTTAGGAACACAAAAGAGTTTCCTGTTGTGTGTAAGGAAACACAGGTCGGTGCTATCGAAACTCTAAATACGGATTTCAGTTTGCTACACACAGCTCTGCAAAGCTGTGTTCATTTGTTTCCATGTGTTGGATCAAATCAGGAGAACATGGGAAAACGAATRGTRTTTAACTTAGGAGGGTGGAACAGAAAAATGAGGAAGTTTTCTTACACAGGAAATCGAAACGAGTTCCTTGCAGACTTAACTGCGTGTAGRCAAGGCAGGGGCTGGGTTTTTGTTTAGTCTTTGCAATTCTTTAAAACCTTGCAAAGATTAAACATCACAGTAATAGGAGCCACTGAGTCATACAGAAACAAAAACCAAATTAAACTCTGTTAAGCTAAATGTAATAGAACAAGAAAAGATCAGATATTTTTGTTACTTTTACAGCCTTTACAAAAACATTTTCCAGACTCATCAGTAACAGGAAGCCTGTAGGGTCAGAAGGTGTACAGTGTTAATMATTGTTTGGGGACAATAAATCTTTCACAAGCTATATTAAATAAGTCTATACTGAAAAAACCTGTGTAGGTTCCTCTATTAGAAATTTGCAGAGACAGTATTAACAAAACTAGTCAAATTGGAGTGCTACTGAAAAAAAGAAATAGTTACAAGAAAAAGTGGTTGAGCAAGGGGGAATTCCAAATTGCTGAGGTCGAACAGCTGTGGCTTATTCATAAAATAAGCCTGACTTAGGTGTTACCTTTGAGGAAGATACCATGCAAATATCTAGTCTTTGTGAACCTTGCTCTTTTCTTAGCAGCAATAAAAAATTGTCAGAAAATAATACATAACAGATCAAAAACATCTTTGTACTTTCATTATGTAGATCTGTAGGGGGTCCAGATCTTGAATGCTGTGAATTTCTTGTCAAAAAAAAAGATTAAAATGGCATGGATAATTGGAAGTGTRTAATTGCTTTAAAAGGAGRAAAAATTACACTGCAGCTTTGGTTTATAAAGRAGATATTCATGTTCACAAACAGTATAAATAAACAGAAAATTATTACCATTTCTACTACSTCATATTGTTTTGTTCCCCTTGTTCTTATCAGGCAATCTGTTGAAAATGAAAGTAAATGTTTTTAAGGTTGCATACAGTGAAACTGTAWAACACATTGTCATGGTATCTTACAAGCTAAGGGCATAAATAGAACCAAAATGGGAAGAAATGGCCATCAAATACAGTTATTTTTGTCCCAGAAAAGCCTTAAAGCACGGATTGCTAGAAGGTGGGAGGATATGAGGGGGGAGTGTTGTTATCGCACTTCTTCCTTATGTTGTTTCCATTTGCTTCCCTCTCYGCCTGGAGCAGGTGGCTGCGGGTGTTTGTGCTTCAAACTTCAAATCTTGTGTGTGTAAAGCCTCAGGTAGCCAGACATTTGGGTTGTTCCTCACCTTGCAAAGCCGTGTGAGTGAACAGCACCGTCCATTTGGGGGTATTGAATGTTTTTATCCTTCTGAGCAGCTTTTCAGCACTGCTGCACCTCAGATGACCTTTGACTCAGGTTACTGGCCTTGCTGTGGAATTCAAAAAGATAGCACTGGTAACTGTTTACAGACATAAGTTTATAAGCATTTCTGTTTACGTATATGTTTATAAACATTTATAAAAGGCGATGGGTAATCATATAAAAGCATCTGGGCAGGTTTGGTATTATTTTTGTTCAGGGGTCAAGGATCWGCACATCTGGCTCCTTCCGAGAGCRAAAGTAACAGGTGGRCACGGGGCCAATCTACCGTGAAGTATCAGTTATTAGTTAAAATATTTGTTAGTTAAAAGCCCAGGCTCCTCACGAGCTCTTTCAGGATTTTCACAAAACAGATTTGTGAGAACTGAGGGGCTGCACTGCAGACAAAAAGTGTGAGGAGCCGAGCAGCGTTCTGAMGGCGCTGGGCGGCCGAAAGGCTGCRCTTATAGAGGCTAAAAGCGAGAATCCTCCATTTCGCTGCCCTCAGGCCGGGGAGCCCTCAGCGAGAACGAGGCTCCCGCGCGCAGGCGCTGGGGGGGGAGGGGCGCTCTCAGCGGGGGGGGCACTTCCGGCCGCGAGCTCAAAGTCGGTCAGCCGGGCGAACCGCGGCCACGCCCACGCGGAAGGGGGCGGGGCCTCGGCCYGGCTCAGGCCGCTTACATAACGGCGGGGGCGGGGCCTGCGCGTGCGTCACGGGCCGGTTCCCGGCAGCCCCCGCGGCCCCCTATATAACCGGCGTCCGCGCGGCCGGGCGCCCACAGTGAGCGGCCCCCGCCAGCGGCGCCGGATCGTACCCAACCCTTCGCCACCCGCTCTAAGTGACCGGAATCGCCTCGCCCACCGCCACCATCGCCATGCCCGGGTATTCCAGCGACAGGGATAGAGGGTGAGTCCGGGGGCACGGCCGGCGCCAGCCGCCGCCAGCGTCCGGACTCTGAGCCTGCCCGTGGGGCTCTCGGGGTTGTTTTTCAGACGTTTAAGATGGCGGCGGGGCGGGGGTTGGGCCCTGAGCCCTTCCCTCAGCGCTTCCGCCGCGAGGGGTGGCCGGGGGAGGGCATCTGGCTTTTTTAGGCTATCGATCGTGGGCAAATGTATCGGTTCCTGTGCCTTGGAGCACCCCCCGCGGGTGTGCGACCGCTGAGAATAGCGCGGGGGCGATTTAAAAAAATTTTTTTAATTTCTTTTTTGCTACGGGGAACAAAAGACTCGCCCTCACCCCCCCCCGGGGATGCCCCCCAGTAGGGATGGTCCCCACAGAGCCCGATTCCCCCCGCTGCGAGCGGCGGGCGGGCTGGAGGTTTGTGGGTTAGTGGGTTGGCGGTGCCGAAGCCTTGGGGAGCTYTCGGCAGGGCGGTTCCCCTCCCTCTCTCCCCCCTCGCAAGGCTCGGGCTGTGGCCGGTAAGAGCCGGCCGGCTCCGCTTTGTGTTGTGTAAGCGGATGTTAATGGCCGGCCCCGCCATGCGGCGGCTGAGGGGAATCAAAATGCCGGCTGTGCTGCTGCTGCCTTTGTTCCTCCTCCTCCTCCCCCCGCCCAGCCCCGGCTCTAAAATGGCAGCGGCTGGAAAATGTGGCGTAGACAGAAATGAGAGACAAAGGAAACAGCGCTGGCAGGAAGCAGCGGCCGCTCGGGGAGCGCTGTGTTGTGCTGGGGAGGATCGTTACCAACGCCCGGCCGGCCRAAATTGGGAAGCGATCGGGGCGGGGGAGGGAGCCCCGTCCTCGGATCCAGCGCACGGCTCAGCGCGGCTCCGAGCTCCGCTCGGGGCTTCCGACTTCAGCCTTCCCCGAACAGAGGGACTGAAACCTAAAATGCTAATAAAGCGCATTGCCTTATAAAACATAGTTGTTCAGAGAAGTCTGTTTTCTAGTACATAAAAGAAACGGTTTATGGGAAAGTTATCCCAAGGTTTCGTAATTGCCCCTGCCCGCTCTCAGCAATAGGAGTGTCACTGGGACTGGAAACCATTTTGATCACGGGGTAGTGCCAGGATTTTAATGTCTGACTTTGCTTGCTGTGACTTGCCTTTCGATTGCATTTTATGGAAGAGGGAAAGACATGTTRCTTAGCTTCTGAATAAGATTTGTGGCAAGGCAGATTGTGGTATCTACAGTTTAAAGTAAGGRTTTTTGAATTTCTAGTGTTCTGAAACTTYAGTAGGTCRAGATTGTATATCTAAATTGYMAGGTTRCAGGGTTGACTGCWAAGTTTGGAAGATGGTGGTTAAGTCATGTAAGAGCAGGACTAAAATGTTTCCTCTTGTATTCTATGTTATGTTCTTTTTCTCTAGGTTTGGAGCCCCTCGTTTCGGAGGAAGTAGAGGTGGACCTCTCTCTGGAAAGAAATTTGGAAACCCTGGGGAAAAACTTACAAAAAAGAAATGGAATTTAGATGAGCTGCCCAAATTTGAGAAGAACTTCTACCAAGAACATCCGGATGTAGTTAGACGTACTGCGGTATGTACCTGATCTGGCTTGAACAAAAGTAAACAGAAAATGCAAACATATTGAGGGTCATGGGGCCCAGTAGGCACAGATTGGGTAACTGTTTTTAATTGCAGTCTCAAGGCTTATTTCCAATTATGGGTGTTTTGTTTTGCAGCAAGAAGTTGAACAGTACAGAGCGAGCAAAGAGGTCACAGTTAGGGGCCATAACTGTCCAAAACCAATTATCAACTTTTACGAAGCAAACTTCCCTGG